CAGAGGCCAGGGTCTAAAGATTTCTTGAGACCTTGGCAAAGGCAACGACTAACATTTCGACGCGTCAGCGACACTTTTCGGACGCTGATATGACTCGCCAAATGCAGCATAAAATGTGTGTAAATTGAGACAATGCATTTCTCCGAGTTAGGCTATTATACACTCACTACCCTGTTAGCTAACTGTAATGTTCGTAATGGAATCTTATCTACCAAGAACAAGGTTTCAGTGATATTACCGTCATCCATATAGATAAATACTACAAAATTAATCCACACCTTTAATCTCTATATACAAACTTGGGTAGGTACTGTACGCACAAGGAGGATTATTTCACATCCTTGATCGGAAAGATTGGCTAATTTTTCTGTGCTCTCCGTGTTTGCAGGTTAGAAAGGTTGATGGCGTAATTCAGTCCGTATCTCCTGAACAGGTTCTCTGAAGTGTGTATAATCTGAGCAAGGGAAGACGTTTGTGTGTGACCTCAAACACTTACACAGTCGTGGATCTAAAAACGAACAGTCATACCTTACACACACACACACACACACACACACACACGCACGCCTGCTCATTATTTATTTTTTCTCGGGAACTCGTTTTAATGAAAGTGTGTCATGTTCCACCCTAGCAGTTTAGTTTATAATGTCGGGTAGACTAACAAAGAACACGTGCGGGATTGACATAGTTACCCATCAGTAATGTGTGTGTGTGTGTGTGTGCAGCTAATTTTGTTTTCACACTCCACAGAATTTGTTATATCTTAAGGCGTAACGTGTATTGACAGGTATAAATATCATTTGCATAATACATATTTTCCGTGTAAACGCTTGTGTGAGGGTGCAGGTAACGGTGTGACTGACTGCGTGGAGCACACTTGTGTAATCACTTGACCACCACCTGGCACTCTGCTGCTGCTTCTGCCTCTACTGCTACCACTGCCACATACTGCTACTGCTGCCCCATATTATTCTTACACTGTTTCTTCTCTTTAACAACTTCTAGATTTACCTTTCTGACAAATTTCGTTTTTGTGTCTTAAATGGTAGTTTTTATTACCCTCGTATTACACATTCTCATACGTTTTTCTGCAGCCGTTTGAAGACTATAGCAACTCCTCCTCTCGAGTGTGCTGGCCGGATCTGAATTCACCGCCAATTACTGTAGGCCTACTACTACTACTAATAGTAATAATAATAGATAATAGCAATAATATTTATCAGTGATATTAATATTATTATTATTTTGTCATTGCCTTTGACATTACAATCATCATTTTCATTATCATCGTCATCATCATCATCAGCATAATAAGCTCAGTCGCGTCAGTGGATTGGGTCAGCTAAGCCTCGAGTGTTTACATCTCTATGACTCACCTGGGAATACTGTCAACACAACAGTGAGACTCTGACGTATAGAATGACAAGGCTGCAGAAGTGTAGAATGACATGGTTCCCGGGTAGTAGATAAAAGAGGTTTCCGACATGTAAAATGACGTAACCTGTGACTTTTGAAAGATGAGTCACCACAAACCCCCCAAAAAAAAATCTGGTCATTCATAGTGATTCATTCATCTTTCAATTTTAAATCTGCATTTATTAGTTTTATTCTTCATGTTATGTGTGTAAATTAGCAGTAGGTAGGTACAGTATATGTATAGTGTTAACGGATCACCGGAAGATTATAGATCCCAGTAAATTTCACCAAATGATTAAATACCCTAATGCTATGTTGGTTTGTTTAGGTTAGGTTAGTGTTAGGGTGTTTAATTATCAGGTAAAATAAGCTGGGGTCTCTAATCTTCACGTGATCAGGTGACCTTGTTGGTGAGGTGCTAGAGTGTGTGTGTGTGTTGGAGGGGGAGGAGTAGTGTGTCCCACGCAGATGTTTCACTGCATCAGCGACCCAAGTGTTCACTGCTGTGCTCTACCTGAGGGGGGAGGCCTGACCTATTGATGATGGAGGACAGGTGAGTGGACGAGATGGAGTGACATCATTTGAGGGAGAGGGAGGAAAAGTTGGGAGTGAGATGGCGATGAAAGGATGGGGAAGGTTGATAACTGAGAAAAGGGAATGGAGGCGAGAAATGCGAATGGGTATTGGCCATAAGAGAAAGAGATATGGAAAGAAGAGGATATGGAGTGGAAAGGGAGGGGGGTTAATGATGGTAATACCGCGCTGTGTGTGTGAAAGAAATCTCGTGTACAGGGTGGAGAGAGTTTATCCGCACAATAAAATCCTTGAGAGTCACCTTGTGCTGGTACAATGATTATGTGTCCCCCCAACCGTGTTCCTGTAGCCCTCTCAACCATTTCCCTGTGTTCCCCCTGAGCCGTGTTCCCTGTAGCCCCCTCAACCGTGTTCCTGTAGCCCCCCTCAGCCGTGTTCCTGTAGCCCCCCCCTCAATTGCGTTCCTGTAGCCCTCTCAACCGTGTTCCCTGTATTCCCACTCAGCCGTGTTCCTGCCCCCCCAACCGGGTTCCCTGTATTCCCCCCAACCGTGTTCCTGTATCCCCCCCTCAATTGCGTTCCTGTAGCCCCCCCCTCAATTGCAGCCGTGTTCCCCCCCTCAGCCGTGTTCCCTGCCCTATGTTCCCCCCCCCTCAGCCGTGTTCCTGTAGCCCTCTCAACCGTGTTCCTGTATCCCCCCTCAGCCGTGTTCCTGTAGCCCCCTCCCAACAGTGTTCCTGTATCCCCCCTCACCGTGTTCCTGCCCCCCCTCAACCGTGTTCCCCCCTCAGCCCGTGTTCCTGTAGCCCCTCAACCGTGTTCAGCCGTGTTCCTGTAGCCCCCCTCAACCGTGTTCCCTGTGCCCCCTCAACCGTGTTCCCTGTAGCCCCACACAGCCGTGTTCTCTAGCCCCACTCTGCCGTGTTCCCCATGGCTCCCCTCAACCGTGTTTGTAGCCCTCAACCGTGTTCCTTATAGCCCCACTCAGCCGTGTTCCCCATAGCCCCCCTCAACCGTGTTCCCCATAGCCCCACTCAGCCGTGTTCCCCGTAACCCCACTCTGCCGTGTTCCCTGTAGTCTCACTCAGCCTTTTTCCCTGTAGTCCCACTTACTGTGTTCCCTGTAGGCTGTAGTCCCACTCAGCCGTGTTCTTTGTAGTCCCACTTGCTGTGTTCCCTATAGTCCCACTCAGCCGTGTTCCCTGTAGTCTCACTCAGCCGTGTTCCCTGTAGCCCCATTCTGCTGTAACAAAGACGTGACCGATCGCCCAAGCGGCTAACAAGCTGATCAGTGGTGAAGAGGATAAAAGTAAAAAAATCCCTGTAGTCCCCTTGCTGTGTTCCTGTAGTCCCCACTCAGCCGTGTTCCCTGTAGCCCCACTCTGATGTGTTCCCTGTAGTTCCAGTCAGCCGTTTTCCCTGTAGCCTCCTCAGCCGTTTTCCCTGTAGTCTCTCTCAGCCGTGTTCCCTGTAGTCTCTCTCAGCCGTGTTCCCTGTAGTCCCACTTGCTGTGTTCCCTGTAGTCCCACTCAGCCGTGTTCCCTGTAGCCTTACTCTGATGTGTTCCTTGTAGTTCCAGTCAGCCGTTTTCCCTGTAGGCCCACTCTGATGTGTTCCCTGTAGTTCCAGTCAGCCGTTTTCCCTGTAGCCTCACTCAACCGTTTTCCCTGTAGTCTCTCTCAGCCGTGTTCCCTGTAGTCTCTCTCAGCCGTGTTCCCTGTAGTCCCACTTGCTGTGTTCCCTGTAGTCCCACTTGCTGTGTTCCCTGTAGTCCCACTCAGCCGTGTTCCCTGTAGCCTTACTCTGATGTGTTCCCTGTAGTTCCAGTCAGCCGTTTTCCCTGTAGTCTCTCTCAGCCGTGTTCCCTGTAGTCCCCGTAGTCCCACTCAGCTGTGTTCCCTGTAGTCCCACTTGCTGTGTTCCCTGTAGGCTGTAGTCCCACTCTCTCTAGTGTGGGAGATGTTCTCTCACTGTACATAAACAATTCAGGGTCTGGAGAGACAGTGGTGCCGTTGTTCGTGGGAGCCTGACACCTGACTGATTATATATCTGTTAAGGAAATATCGGTAATGTTTACCTTGAGGCAGCACAAACATGACATGTACAGTTGGCTCCACTCTCGCGTTTACCACTTGGCGTTGCCAATCCTCTCTTTCCTTGAGGTATGAACCCTGAACTCTCAAGTGGGAATTCGAAGCATTCTTTAGTGAGAAGAGAAAATTTAACACTGGAGCACCTTAGTTTTCGTCTTTATTCAAGACATCCTCAGAGGCAACTGAATTTATGGGAGCTGAGTGGAGTTTATGTACAATGAGTGACCTTACAAAGCATCAGGACAGGTGAATGACCTGAGACCCACTAATCCACATGACCACAACTCACCTCCATCACAAATGAGACCAGACCTTTTTTTTTTTAATCGAAATTTATCTTCTCTACTTTAGTTACCATTGTGAATCTACAATGTATGTAGGCATAGTTTTTTATGGGTATTTAGCCCACCCGGACATAGGTCAATGACCCACATCAGGGCCTGGGGGCGAAAATAATAATAATAAAAATATGATTAATATTGATAATAAACCATAAATAAATAAGAACATTAAAAAACCAATAGTGAGAAACTATATACTGTACATATGTACAGTATGTTGTGTTGTCGAGGTAAGAGAAACAATTGAGACCCTGCAATTGTATGTAAATGAGGCAGAAAGTCATTTCAGCAACCTGGGACTTGGTCACAAGTTTTGTGATGCCATATGGCAGCAGGGTCTACCATTAGACAACACATTATGGTTTCATTATCTTCCCAGGTGGTTGTACCTCCCTTTTTGTTAGCTGCACTTCACCACCTTAAATTCTCCAACAGTAAAGTTAGGTACTCTTTGAAGCTAGGTGGACTCTGGGTGCCCTGGGTGCAAACCAACAACCCTTAAAACAGGATGTGGTAGGTGTATCCACTGGGCACCTCACCTCATTTGAATACAAAAATTCTACAGATATTATGACCTGTTCTCAAGCAGTGCACACAGTAATTTATTTTCTTTCAGAATAACAGTAAACAATAATGTATATTAGAAAATAGATCCTCATCAGACACAAAGGAGAGACCCACTGACAGACCAACATGGCGAACCGAGACCGTAGAAGCAAAAGTATGTCAGTGAGTGATGATGAATTCTACGATAGTGTTGACTACATAAAAGACAAACGTGAGAATGAAAACTGTGTCTCAGATCAAAGTGCTACTCAGGATGGCTTCAGTGAAACTGTTGACAAGAGGATCTCGGGAGAAGACTCCCCGGCCATGACTTCATCACCTGAGAAGAGAACAAAACTCAGAGATACCATAAACAGTTCACTCTCAGAAGAAAGTGACTCTATGTCAGAAAACACAGCCACTACTGACAAGAAGATCATCAAGAAACAATCAGTTCTCAAATGGACGATGATGGCTCGGGAGGTGATCCAGGCAGGAGTGAGCGATGATGACTCCCCCTTCAGGAGGTCTTCTAGCAGCTCCAGCATCTCCAGCACTGAGAGGAGAATCTCAGGCTCCACCATGTTGGAGGACATCGCTCAGGTGAGTTCTTACACTCAGTATAAAAGTGATGATGGTGAAGATTATGTCCATTTCAGGACTTTAACCAAAAGAAACAATAATTTAAATTTTTCTTACATATATGTGTCTAAATGGAACAGTTTTACATGACCTCATTTGTTCATTATACTGTGCAGGTATTGGTATAGCTTCTCTCATGGCTTGCATGTAATTTTAGGGTAACTTAGACAACTGGGACCCAGAGACCTGTGTGACACTGCTGCGTATCCCAAGTGTCTCAAACTATTCAGGACTTAAGAGACTCATGGAAGTTGTAAGTTTAATTTATTTCTCATAGCTTAAATGATGATACAGTACTAATTGATATTATATCCTGCCAACATAAATGCTAAATAATTTTGAATCTCTTTTGTTGTGACAATGAACGTTACCATTAATTTCAGGCAAGTAAAGAGTGGCTAGAAGACTTCTTGCATCTGGATGGTTTAGGAGTTTTGTTTGAATCCTTGGAGCGATTAAGTGATCGAGGCTTCAGCTCTATTGCAGATGCCTTACTTCAGCTTGAGTGTGTACTGTGTATTAAAGCAGTGATGAACTCCAAGACAGGCTTGGAATACATTATCAATAATGACAGCTATACACGGAAACTTGCCAAATGTAGGAATTGCACATCAACTTCCTGTGATTTCTTGCTAGCTTAAAGTCAGATTTATAGCTACAGTATCTGATTTGATGACGTTAAATCTTTGAAGTTTCTTTATTACTGTACTGTACTGTATTGTACTATACAGTACTGTATTGAATTGTGTTGTAATAATGTACAATAATTTTTTTATATTTTATTTCCAAATTTCAAGTTATGGCTTGCATTACTCCCTCTGTTTCATGTACTGTACAGTATAGTACAATATAATCAAATAACTAAAGACAATGGATAAAAATCAGTGATTAGGGCTTTGACATGAAGTACTACTGTACAGTACAGTATTAAGAATCATAAGATACTGGTGTAATACAATACAATAATAGCCAGCAGTTTTTTTAAATTATTAGAACATAGATAGTTGTGTATCCTGAAAAAAATATATATACGTATTTATTTTATTTTTTGCTAAACAGTTTACTGATTTTTGCAGCCCTGGATTCACGGAATATGCTGGTTAAGAAACAGGTATTCGAGTTACTGTCAGCCTTGTGTGTGTATTCTGAGCAGGGCCATGCTCTTGCTCTCGACTCTCTTAATAATTACAAGGTGAGTATAATTTGTATTTTGTTTCTCATTTACTGTATACAGTATAGTACTGTAATAAAAATGTACAGCAGTGCATGCCCAATACTTGTCAACAGTGTGTAACAGACATGACCGACAGCCCAAGCGGTCCATGAACCAAACAGTGACGAAGAAGATAAAAGTAAAAGTACTAACTGAAATTTTTTTTAATGAGCTAACAATAGAGTATAGAATTCAGTACTGTACATAATACGGTAACTACATCCACTTCTCCGTAATGTTTAGTCAAATGAATTTTATCTGGTACGTAAAAGTAATTTAAAAAAAATTTATGTACTGTACAGGGTGTTTGCAAAGTCTTCAAAACTTAATACAGTATATGAAAATAATGTACACATGAGAGTTGTAAAGGGAAATTATTAATACACAAGTGTTTTTGTTTTAAACCAAATTATCATTTGTTTGAAAACAGTTATATGTGTCATTTAAGCGAGTACTGTGTGTGGACTCTTGTGATACCACATGCTTATTACTGCTGTATACTACTGACCTGTACATGTTCTTCAGCCAAATATTTATTCAAGTTTGCCATTTGATTATCACAGGAACTACAGTCTCATATCTGTAACAAAAACACATGTTCAGCACTTAAATTGTACTGTCTTTTGTTCTAATTGGAATGGGATTGTAATTTGTAAAGATTACTCCAGCTGTATTATTTCATCCCTGTTTTTTGTGAAGGAAGAAAGTGAAGAATGCACAGTGAAACTTGCAACATTTGATTCTACATTCAATGGACTTGTTTATTTTAGGATGGTGTTTCATATAAATACACTTATTGTAAGACACCCATTTTGAATTACATTACTGTACAGTATTTAGTACATTACAGGTATCCCACACTAGTTAGCAGGGTTTGAATTATCCCTTTTTTGTGTACTGTAGCTTCATAAGTGAATGAGCACTTATTTGAATTTCCTGTGTTCTAGTAGATGTTAAGCCCATCTGAGCCTTAACAGATGCTGCTTAATTTTTTATAGTTTAGGCACTGGACAGGCATCTCTCAATTTACAAAGGGCACTTTAGGAACGAAACCCCTTCATATATGAAGGGATGCTTTTGTTCTAGCTTTTTTGGAATAAAATAATTTATAAGTCCCTAAAAGATCATTTTTCCCACAAGAAGATAACACCATAAATTAACAGTTTTAAAAGCCATTGAAGTACTACTGTGTTTCCAAATATATCCTCATTAACTCATGAGGTATATCTTTATTCATTTTTATACTTTTGCAGTTGTTATTATAATTAATCTCCATTATTGAGTGTGTGAACCAGCATTTTTTTTATTACTTCTTGTGCAGTATATGTTTTTAAATTTTGTTGCAGGTGTTCAAGAATCAGAGGTACCGGTTCATGTTAGTGGTGGAGGAAATTTGCAATGCAGAGGTTGTGGATTACCAAACAACACTGGTAGCCTTTATTAACTGTCTAGTGCTTGGCATCAGTCATCTACAGACACGGGTTGCCCTCAGGAATGAATTTGTTGGTGAGTTATCTCATGTGGTCATGGCAAGCGATAAATGCTCACTCTGAATGATTTTTTTTAATCAGATTGTCGTGTGATATTAATTAAAGTTGATAATTTTTTTTAACAAACATTATATTGATATGAGAAGATTCTGTAGTTTGAGAATAAAATAATAGAATCTAATTGAACTCCAGGTCTGTAATATTAGGTGCAGGAAATTGCAAATTACTGTACAGTATACTTAATTGATTTCAGAGGAATAGTTTAGAACATTGATGTCAAACATCTGAAAAGTTTATGTTGAATACAATTTTAATTTAAATATTGACCCCTTAGATATACAGTAGTATGTATATGTAAGATTTCAACAAGCTGAAGATATTACTAAATAGATTTTCAACATTTAATTTAATGTGGTTGTATCAAGACAGGGCTGACAGGATATTGTGTGACTGTGTGTGTGTGCGTGCTTGTTTGTGTGTGTGTGTGTGTGCGCGCGTGCATGTGTGTGTGTGTGTGTGTGTGTATGTGTGTGCTTAAAAATGCTCACTCCCATATCAGGGTCCCTATTAAGATTTTAGTTTTCATTAATAACTTAGTGTCATCAGCAAACATTTGTAATGATGAGTGAATAGCCTCTGGCATATTATTTATGAAATAGGCAAACAACACTGGTCCTATGTCTTTGCCCTGCAGTATACCACTGGACATTTATGAGCTAAGTCACTGTATCAGCCACATAGCCCTGGCATTATGTGTTAGAAAAGCTGAGATAGAATAAAATAAATACATTTAACCCTGTTTGTATGACCTTGATTATGGATTTGTTATATCTATCCAGGGTTGGACTTCATGAAGGTACTGAACAAATTACAAAAGGTAGAAGATGACCACTTGTCTCTTCAGTTGTCAGTTTTTGAGGATAGCTATGAAGAGGACCAAGAGCAGTTATATGGAGTTGAGGGACAACACAACATCAACCATTATGATGCCTTTAATGCACTCTTCACTAAGGTGATGCTATGTACATTATCATTTTTACAGCTGTTTATTGTAGAGAAAACAAATACTGTCATTTAAAGTACTGTATGTAGATTTTGCAATATTTCTGTGTGCTATTTTACTAATAAACCCCAAAACATCATCCACTTCCACTAAACATATGAATCTTATAACACTGCTTGGATCCATCATAGATGTTTGAGGATGATATTCATCTATTGAGATTTGTAATACAGAAAAGTGAATCATCAGTTTCATAATGTTTATGCATCAAGCAAGAAGCAAGTGTGTTTTTTTTCATAAATAATTACATTACATATTTATTAAGAGAAGTTCATATCACTTAACAGTATTCATGCCCAGATTAATCTTATTGTGGAGAATAAAACTTGTTGCAGGTTCGTGAAACACCCCACTCCCTCCAACTTTTGGCACTGATCCACAACCTCACCCAACTTGACCCAGACAAAGAGGAAAGGTTGGTACATCATTGCCTGCTTGCAAAAATTACTGTATTTACCAGCTATCAGCTGTCTTATCAGTTTATCATGTCTATTAGTTTTTATATACAGTGTAGAATATATTGGTTACCGGTATATATATTGCAGTGATGATGTATGGGCAGCACTAGATCGTGTGGGTATCCGTGTAGTGGAGGGCACCTTTACTACTACATGGGCAGAGACTGTTGCACCATCACAAAACTTTTCTCGCAATGTAGCTACCCAAACTATATCAAGACGTGGCTCACGTGTACCAGTGCCTGCAGTAGGAGTTAACCACACTCTGCTTCCTCATGAGTTACCTGAAGGCCAGCCATCTAAGAATATAGACAGAATTGCTGGTGATATCCATGGGGAGAATGATTGTACTATATATTCCACATCCAATGAGAGCGAACATACCAGCAAACCAGGGCCCCTTCCACCACCTCCACCACCACCTCCTCCACCTCCTCCTCCTCTCAACCATGCATTACCACCACCACCACCTCTTCCAGGATATGGAGGTCCTCCACCTCCTCCACCCCCACCACCACTGCCTTCTCTTGGATGGGGGGTCCCACCACCCCCTCCATTTCCTTTAGGTTTTAGAGGGCCTCCTCCTCCTCCTCCTCCTCCTGGATGTGGAGGGCTTCCACCACCACCACCACCTCCTCCTCCTCCAGGATATGGAGGGCCTCCACCTCCTCCTCCTCCTCCAGGATGTGGAGGGCCTCCACCCCCTCCTCCTCCTCCAGGATGTGGAGGGCCTCCACCACCTCCACCTCCTCCAGGATGTGGGGGGCCTCCACCACCTCCACCTCCTCCAGGCTGTGGAGGACCTCCTCCTCCTCCACCTCCTCTTGGTAGTAGATTTCATAATCCACTTAATCCTTCCATGTCATTCCCCACATATTCAACTACCCAGAATACTCCATCATTCTACAGTACACTTCCACGACCCCGCTCAAAAATGAAGCATCTGAATTGGAGTAAAGTAAGCAATAATACCATCAACAATTCTCTGTGGCAACATGTACATAAAGATCTGGTTGAATCCCCTCCAACATCTTTAAATTATCTTCAGATTGAAGAACTGTTTTGCCAAGTAACTAAAGCTCCAGCAGCAAAGGCTACCAAGAAACAGTCAACAGAGGTGACTTTACTGGATTCAAAGAAATCTCTTAATGTTAATATTTTCATGAAACAATTCAAGGCATCTCATGCGGAGGTTGTTGCCCTCATCCATGACTGCAAAAGTTCACAAATTGGCTCTGAGAGGCTTAGGGGTTTCCTGAGAATACTTCCAGAAGATGGAGAGGTGAGACCAACATGCAATATATTCTTGTTGAAAATAAATACAGTACAGCTACATGAAATTTTTTTTATAGTCATGACAAATATATAGCAAGAGTTTACTTACCTACTGTAACTACTGTATTTATAAATTTTGTTAGAGAAATGGCTATTAATTTCTATATACTGTACAGTACAGTAGTATGAATTAGATGTTGAAAAATGAAAAAGATTCTTTCATCGAAGGGGGTCAAGGTTCACAAACATAAGAACAAGCGTTTGTAATCATAGGTAACAAAATTTATTTCATGTGTGTAATATTCTGCAGGTGACAATGATCAAGGAGTACCTCGGGGATATAGAAAAGCTTGGTAATGCAGAGAAATTCTACTATGAGCTGGTTAAAGTCCCCAAATTCCAGCTCCGTCTTGAGGGTATGATCCAGGTATGTACTCATTCTCAGCTCCTGGGTATGATTTTATCCATCAATAATTACTGTACATGTATCGGTTTATGTTGTGGGGATGTTGAAACCAATTATTTATCCCCAGGTAACATAATAAAATTTGCCTACTCGGTTTATCCAGGTGTATGTAAATAATCCATTCTATGATTAACCCTCTGGCACTCATAATAAGTTTTTAAGTTTCCGTGGCCACAGCAAAAATCATATGGGACAACTCGTGAGGTCTGGTCATCTTCGTTTTGCAGTCAAGTTATCTCACAAGATTTATTATATTTTTTTGCATGATTTATACTTCACCGTCTTCTGTATTATTTTGGCTCATTTGTTTAATGTTCCTGTAATACACCAGATATTCAAAGATTTAAATAAAACCATATGCATACATTATCTACACTATTGGAAGTGACATCATTATATGTTCTCAGATGGAGGATCTGCATCCAGCAGCAGACAGTCTGAGGCCGCAAATCAAGATGCTCTTGACTGCTTGTGATAAAATTCTGAATAGTGAAAGTATTCAAGATTTCTTTGCATATATCCTTACTGTTGGAAATTTCATCAACACGGTAAGTTTCTGTTTAATGCAACAGGATTTCCACACTGTATTCCACTGGGTAGAGTAGAGGATAACAATGCAGATTGAGGTTACTGTTATTAAATTCATGTGTCAAGGTTTCTTGTTAAAATTTAAAAAGAATGTTATGATATGAATAATGTTCGTGAATCACTCCTCCACTTTCTGTTTTCATCAATATTTCAGGGGAGCTATGCAGGTAATGCTCTTGGATTTCGACTTAACACCATATCTAAGTTGTGGGAAACACGAGCCAACAAACCAGGAATGACTTTACTGCACTACTTGGTTCAGACAGTTCAAGATGACAACTTAGACATATTAAACTTTCTTGATGAACTTGGTGATTTAAGCAAGACAGCTAGGTTAGTAACAGTTCAAAATTTCTTGTACCTGTATTTTACCCTTTCTGTTAGTAACAAAGGGAACCAGAAGTAATTTCTTAGTACAGTACATTGGGTTCGCAACCCATAAGATGCAAGTTTATTTCCATATCCAGATAAGGTTAAAGGATATCATTGTTTTTGTTGTAGAGAGTACTAGCCATTGTCATATAAAGTCCTATTTCACCTTACAATCAGAACTCAACAAATTGTGATTGGAATAACGCTTGTTCATATTTTAAATATTGTTAAATGCTTGTGATTATCAAGTGTTCCTGCTCTATATGTCAGGATACTGTCATCTTTAAAGTTATCAAAAGTGAATTTGTAAAGAGTATATTCATAATAATGCCACCTAAATTAATGGACTAATGATGGGAACAGCATAGCAGTTATTATCTCATAGATCAAGAACTCTGACTGTCCTTGAAACAGAGTATGACTATTTTTTTACAGACTGTCTGTTGAAGGGCTAACTGGTGAGGTGACTACACTGCGAGGAGACCTCAATATGTTGTCCAAGAAACTTGAGAATGCCCCAGATGATGTGAAGAAACATTTCAAGGGTAAGACATTTGTAGCACAGTCTTTATTCATACCTCTTAAAACTCATCATTATGCCTGCAGAAAGAGGTGGCACCTATTTTATATTCATTGTCTCATTTATTAGTCCAAAATGCCTTTGGTACTTTAATTGTGTAATTACAATGCTCAATGTGGTGATTAATGGCACAAAATCATCATCTGTACCTGTCACAAGCAGGGTACCACAGGGCATTGTATTGGGCCCGCTGTTGTTTGTTTGTTTCATAAATGACATGCCTGATGTTGTACACTCCTTCATACAAATGTTTGCCGATGACACCAAGTTATTTCGGAAAATCAAGAACCATGCGGACTGTGAAGAGCTGCAGAAGGATCTCTGTGAGCTCCAAGAATCGTCGAAGAAATGGCTGCTGAGATTCAAAGTCACAAAGTGTAAGAGGATGCACCTGGGGTGTACCAACGGTAAGGAGGCGTATCATATATCCCAACTGGATGAAGAAACTGCACTATTTGAGACTGAATGTGAGAAGGACCTAGGTGTGTATGTTGACAATGAGCTGAAGTTTTTGGGCCATTGCGAGAAGGTAAATCAGGCAAATAAATTATTGTGTCTCATAAGAAGGTTGTTCAGATATCTAGACGGTCCGTCCCTCGTAACGATCTTCAAGAGTGAAGTGCTTCCCCATCTGGAGTACTTTCACCCGGTCTGGTCCCCGAGATATGCTACGGACTGTCAGTTGGTTGAAAATGTTCAAAGGAGGGCCACCAGACTGGTGCCTGCACTTCGGCACCTCAGCTACCCTGAGAGATTGGAGCGCCTGAACTTGCCTAGCTTATACTACAGACGGGCAAGGGGTGACCTAATTGAGGTGTATAAGCATCTCAAGGGGCACTATTCAGTCGAGTGTCCTTACTTGGAGCTGGCAGATGCTCGCCCCACAAGGGGTCACAGCTCAAGATTGAAGAAGCCGCATGTCCAGAAAACTGTGGGGGCAAACTTTTTCGGAGTGAGAGTTGTGAACTCTTGGAACAATCTGCCAGAAAGTGTTGTGACGGCACCAAGTGTGAGCTCTTTCAAGGCCAGACTTGACCAACACTGGAGCAGGTTCAGGTACATTCAGGAGCCGGTGCATGCCCCGTACTTGCCAACAGTGAAAGTGGGTCGATTCTCCTATTCTTGGAGAACAGTTCAACAACTCCTATTATATCGGGTTTGTGTCCCTTCAGTAGTGTTTCAAACTCTTATCTCTTATCAAAGAACGTGTCAGTATTAGTGTACATGACATTCAAGCCGGAATTTGTTCTCAGTAACGTATCTGCTCTTGGTAGTAACTCCGGCCCGCCTCCATTCTCAACAGCTGCAGCATTTGCTCAAAACACTGCATTTTGCAGGGTGTTGTTAGAAATTTCATTGCTTACACGGTGTTCAGCTCCTCCTGGGTTGGAGCTAGAGTGGGTTGGGGTGTACCGCTGCCCCCTGGCTCTATGCTGGTGCTCTTGCTTCCGCTACCCTCCCCCTGGATATGACCCACGTACACCCGTCCCCGTTCCTCCTCGACTCCTCCCTCCTCTGCTTCAAGCCCTGCAGGAGCTTCTTGTGCTGTTCCCTCTGCATTACTGTGCTACCTGGGTGAATGAATACATTCCGAAATGCCCTGCTCCTTGCTAAGTTTTTTGCCTGCCAAATAAGTTCTCATTTCTTCTCCTCACTCAAAAGTGTGATCCTGAGGGGGTGAGGCTTGTCCTCCTGCTTTTGTCCCAGCCTCCTCACATCCTGAGGCAGAATTCAGAACCCTCTGTACAAATATTCTCAAACTGCAACTTATCGTGTGTTTTCCTACTCTCAGCTTCCTCCGACTGGCTCTCAGGGACTCCATAAACTATTACGTTGTTCCTGCTCTCGAAATATTCCTTTTGTTCATGCTCTCCCCTAACAGTAGGTCTGCTAGTTGCCATCTCTTCGACACACTTCTTCAGAGTCCCTAGCTGCTGTAGAACTTGTTCGGATGCTGCATTACTCTCCGTCACCTCCCATGGCCCTGCTAAGGCCTGAGCATAACAACTCTTCACTACCACCTCCATTCTATCGGCTACTTCCTCATTCTTAGCTAGGATCTCTTTCCCAACTTGTTCTAGTTTGGCAACCAACAAGGATCCAGCTTCATCTATTTTCGTCCCTGGGAAACTCGTTCCCCTATGGCTTGCAATCGCCTCCTTCACTTTGACTATGTAGTCAGGGCAGTACCAGCAACAGCTTTCCTGCCTTACCACACTCTGTATCGTCCTAAATGTTGCATTGTTCAGACCCGCACAATCTATATTCAACGTCGCCCTGCAGTAATTGCGTGTCAACAGACTTCCTGGTGCCTCTTCAGCCCCTGACTCCATACCCCTGATGGTTGTTGCTGTTGGGGAGAAGGGGGGGTGGGGTGCAGACTCTGTACGGATCTACTCAACCTTAAGCCCACCAGTTTACCATGTAATGGACTTTTAACTGTCAGCTTTATAATAATAATAATATTGATCTTTATTATTACTATGATAATTGCTTCTAATCTGTGTCTTGGTCACGGTCCCTTTAAAAGCCCCGCTTCACTGCCTGCGTATAGGCCACTATGACTAGTGCCACCGACCGGACTAGCACAATTAATTTATTCTGACCAAGAAATTTACCCCTCAGTGGGATGACTTCCTTTATAATCACATCTACTAATTGAAGTCTAAGTGAAGTGGGGTGAGGGAGTGATCGTGTCCTTGTGGCAATGTTATTTAAAAATAAAGAAAAAACCCACTTAGCTGCCCTCTGCCTGGTCTTAACCTCCTTGGCACCCTCATGCGTCCAGTGTTGCTGCCCAAGACAGTTTGAGTTGTCTTTGTTTTTTTTTTTGTTTTTTTTTTTTGGGGGGGGGGAGGGTTCAGTTTTCCTTGACAAGTTGTTGGTATCTATGTGCTATCCCTATGTACACTGTACCTTGCTATGAATGATGGATCATATGCCCACTCAGTCCTTTAGAAACACAGAAAAAGAAAGAAAAAATTACTTTCTTTGAGACGACAATAAAATGCCGTTGGAGATAACCCGGCTTGTTTTTTGTTTTGTTTTTATTTTTAACTATTCCGTGTTTATTTATATTCTCTTCTCTAGTTCTCATTAACGAATATATCTCTATGACCTATCACTGTGTACAATGTATCTCCTTATGGATGGTAGATTGTAAGCACAATTTCAGTCCTTGAGAAAGCACACACAAAAGAATAAAAAATATCTTTGTGGTACCAATAATACGACTTGGTTACTGCCGGCAGTGGTGCCTGATTTCTTGCCCCAATTTGATCTTCACTTCAAATTATTTGCAACCTCCTCTACGGTCACTGATGTCACTATGAACTGTCTTAACTAAAGGCACAATACTATACTCTTGTTGGCCTTTGGATGGTCAGTCAGGTTAACCTTAACATTTCCTACATCTCCACAGATTTCACATTGAAGGCCGACTCTATAGTGCAGGACTTGGAGCAAAGCCTAAAGGAATTGGAACGATCAAGAGTCAAATTGTCTCAATACTTCTGTGAGGATGAATCCAAATTTCGCCTGGAGGACTGTATTGGTGTCTTTCATACTCTCTGTACTAAGGTTACTGATGGCAGGAAGGTTTGTATACATCTCTGTTTTGTCTTAATGAAATTGAAGATTAGGAAAATTTACAGATGTAGGGAAGATTACAGGTTTAAGGAGGTTGCAGGTTTAGCCGATACTAGGTAAGGGAAGTTTACAGGTTTATGAGTACAAGGTTAGGAAATTTCACAGGTTTATGAGTGCAAGGTCAGGGAAATTTACAGGTTTATGTGTCTATACAAGGTCAGGGATGTTTACAGGTTCATGAGTCTACCAGGTTAGGGAAGTTTAAAAGTTCATGAGCCTGCAAGGTTAGGGAAATTTACAGGTGTATGAATATACAAGGCAAGGGAAATGTACACGTTTATGAGTTTGAAAGGTCGGGAAAGTTTACAAGTTTAATGAAAAATAGAATGATCTGTGATATTTATGAGCCCACTTCAATAATAATGATGATTATACAAGGCTTAAGCAATATTGTTGTTTACATAACTGGCTTTGTAGTACTGTACAATATTTAGATTAAGAAAATTTCTATATTGTGAAGTTTGTAGTACTGTACTGCATTAATAGCTTTTACTGAAAGACCAATGCATTCTTTGAGAAAATTAAAACCTAGGGGCTGCTTCTTTTTCCATCTGAAGATGTGATTAACATACGTATTTCTTGTAAATTTATGTTAAGAGAAAAGTATCCCATGTTAAAGAATCGTGTCTTTCTTGATCCAGAATAATGTTTCAAAATGGTTCATTCATTACATATTATCATGTTACAACACAAAGACAGTAGTTCCTGATTTATCTCAGCATAGGTTAAAGACTGGTCTACTTGAAAATCACATAATTTTGTTAATTAAAGTTGTTTCAGAGTAGTATACAAGTTAGGCATACAGTAAACAGTTCGCCTTAAAGCTACAAGCTATAAATAGAATGAAGTCATCAAACCTATACCAAACTTATCGTGTTTAGTGATCAATATGGTCATACTTACGGTATATAAGTTATATTATGTTGATAAGGATTGCCTTGTGTGTATTTGAATTAATTATTTATTTCAATCACACAACAAATAATTTTATTAATTAATACAACCACAGTTAATTTTTTGCCTGTCATTGACTGTTAGAAGTGCATGTAAGGAAGTTTTTTTTTTTTTTTTTTACAGGGAATAGCCCATCCGGGCACACATCATCGACCCACAACGGGGCCTAAGGGGTATAAAAAAAAAGAGTAAAAAGAAATTAAAAATAGTAAAGAAAATGATTACAGAATATTAATCTACACCATGAAGATGCCGGAAAACCGGCTTTTTGAAGTGAGACAGATTGTATGAGTATGGAAATTCAGAAGAAGGCAGAGCATTCCACAGTTTGGCTGTGTAAGGAAAGAAGGATGTACTATAACGGGTTATTCTAGTGTGACCGACATTCACAGAGAAACGGTGGGCACCGCGGGCAAGACAAGTGTTATGAGCCCATGGCCTTGCCGGCGGTACACAGGATGCCAAATCCACCGAACATTGCTCGTTAAAGTACCAGTAAAAGAGAGAGAGTGAAGCAACATTGCGGCGAAGAGAAAGGGAAGAAAGATTATCAACTAAAGGAGGAAAGTTAATAAGACAAAATGCCTTTGATTCCACCCTATCTAACAGTTGGACAGAAGAAGAGCCACCCCAGATATGAAAGCAGTACTCCAAGTTAGGACAAATGAATCCCTTATAAACTTGAAGCAACTGCTCAGGAGTGAAGTAGCTATGGCATCTGTACAGCATTCCCAGCTTCGGGAGGCAGCTTTAGCAATGTTGTGGCTGTGTGGCTTCCATGACATATTAGAGGAAATGGTGAGACCTGGCATATCTGTTTTAGAATTTGGCAGAATGATTGCATCTTGAAATGTGATTGGTGGGAGATTGTCTAATTTGTAAAGTCTGATTGCCAAATACAGTGAATTTAATTTAACCAGGTTTCTACCTCCTCATTCGGAGATGCTGCACATATCCGCATTGATAGCTGAAATGATATCAGCTCTAGAAACAGATCAAGTTTGAGAATTAGGGGGAAGGGAAAAATGTGAAGAAGAGTGAAGAGTAGAATCATCAGCGTAAGAATGGATAGAATTAGTCATAGTGTGAAGTAAATCATTGATAAAAAGAAGGAAGAGAGCAGGTGAAAGAACAGAACGCTGTGGGACACCACTATTGGTTGAGAAAGAGCGAGAGATCGATCCCTCGACAACAACTGCCATGGATTGGTTCTCAAGGAAGCTAGAAATTAGAGAACAAAGTGGGGGAGAGAAACCATAAGAGGGAAGTTTAGAAAGCAAAGACTTGTGCCGTACCCTGTCAAATGCTTTGGAGATGTCAAGGGCCACGATGAAAGTTTCCCCATAATCCCTAGGAGAGGATAACCAAAGATGGGTGCAGTAGGAGAGCAGATTACCAGTAGATCTCGCCTGGCGAAGGCCATACTGGTGATTCGACAAAAGAGAAAGGTGCTAGGATAGCGACAGTAAGTAGTGACTTTTGCCAATGCAAGGTACAGTACCAAGATGGTAGCGTGTGGGTTGGCTGGCTCCATGAAACCTCCTTGGGTAACTGAAAGACAGAAAGAAAAAGTGATTGTCATTGTATAAAAGACTGAAACAGTAGAGACACTAATAGTGTACCAGTATGTAGTGTTAACATACTTGACACTATTCAGAGATCTGCAGTGTAAGTGGACTGTTACAGCCCTTAATGTAAAGAACAACCCATTTACTATGTTTCACTTATCTTATGGCTCGAGATATAGTGAAGACTGACAAGTCATTTGTGTCTTTTGCCAGAATACAAGTCTTCAAGTGGAGGAATGTGGGTGGAAGAGGACTGGCTGGCTTGCGTGAGGGCGGGCAGCCGCCAGGACAGCAAAGAGAGGCTGGCAATGCGGGTGTTGCCGACCTCAGCGAAATATTTTTTGTTTTATTTAGTTGTAAATTAAAAATTTTTGTATATAACTGTTTACATTTTTCCATTATTATACTACAATATAATTACAGTAGTTTCAAATAATGATGATAGTAAATGCCGGTACAGTGCATCAGTGATCAGTGTGACACTGGGCCGTGAGTAGAGAACATGGCGTGGTTAAGTGCATGATGTATCTGAGCTGTTTGGTGGCCACAGGTACAGTGATTCCTAAAAGAATATTTGCGGTTTTGGCTTTTCGTGGGGGTTTCAGGAACGTAATTCCCGCGAAAAACACGGGATTACTGTACTGTATGTCTGTAGGACCTCTGTAGATAATCTGAGTTCTGTAAACTGTGGTAGGTGCTTAGGCTTATTAATTTAGAGGACTTTCAAGATAATTCTAGATTGTTTAGTATACAGTATTTTTTTCCATATGACATTAGGACAATAAGACTTGAGGAAGACATGGGATTCAAGACTTAGGAGGACATGGGGGTTCAAAGCTCAAGAAGGACATGAGATTCAAGACTTTGGAGAACTTGGGTTTTAAGGTCCAAGACTTCAGGAGGAGTTCATATTTTAAAGCTTAAGACTTTAGGAGAACTTGGGGTTTTGAGGTGCATGATTTAAATAGCCTGTATTTATTCACTTTCTTCCTTTATGTAACTATTTAAAATAAAATTAAAATATTCCTGTTTCATCTAAATTTGGATTATTAATATACTGCACTTAACAAAGTGTATTATTAATGATGTAAAGACATTCCTGTCAATGTAAACATTGTACTTTTTTCAGGATAATGAAACTAGACGAAAACGCGAGGAGCGTAAAAAACGTATGGAGGAAGAAAAACAGAGACAAGAGGAGGAGCGAGCTAAAGCAGAGGCAGCAGGGATCCCTGTTAGGAAAAAAGGAGCTTCCCTACCTCCCCCTGAGGACAGTGGAACTTGTGTTGTGGATCGCTTGTTAGCTGATATTCGCAAAGGAGATTTTAAGCTTCGTAAGAAATCTGCACCCACTACTCCAGCTGTTACTAGTTGAAAGGCTCTGTATCCCACACTGAATTTGCATAAATAGCTTCAGATTTAACAAATTACCACAAGTTTTGAAAAATTGTAAGACAATTTTTTGGCAAAAAAATGGATAATTATAGGGGCAGAAATTCAGTATTAATGACTTACTGTAAAGGAAGTCAATAATTTAATCAACAAAAGTGAATCACTATACTGTACTGTAATACTGTATAAGAGGTCTGATCGAAAAGGATCTGACCCTTAGCAGGTGAAAAAAAAACAAGCTTACTTACTGAGTTCAGACCTTAATCCCCTTCAAAGTAGGCCCCTTGGGACTCAACACACTTAGCCCAGCGGTCCTTCCATTGCTGGAAACATTTTGTAAGTCAGTTTTTGGGATCGCCAACATGATCTTCATTGCATTTTTCTTTATCTCATTTGTGTCCTCAAATCTCGAACCCTTCAGCGGCATCTTAATTTTAGAAAACGGCCAAAAGTTGCAGGGAGCTATGTCAGGAGAGTAGGGAGCCTGCCGGACCTGTGTGATCCTGTGTTTGGCTCAAAAATCCTGGACATGATGGGATGAGTGAGAGGGCTGGAGCATTGTCGTGGTGGAGCTGCCAGTCCTCCGCCTCCCATAACTCTCATCTCCTGCGACGCACTGCATCCCATAGGTGATGGAGAACTCCCCGGTAGTACTCTTTATTGATTGTTTGGCCTTCTGGAGCATATTCGTAATAAACAACACCCTGGTAGTCGAAAAAAAAAAACTGTCAGCATGAGCTTCACCTTGCTCTGAACCTGCTGTGCCTTCTTTGGCCTTGGTGATACTGGTGACTTCCATTGTGACGACTGAGCTATCGTTTCTGGGTTGTATCCATACACCCAAGACTCATCTCCTGACATGGCTTCCCGCGACTTTTGGCTGTTTTCTAAAATTAAGATGCTGCTGAAGGGTTCGAGATTTGAGGACACAAATGAGATAAAGAAAAATAAGATGAAGATCATGTTGGTATCCCAAAAACTGACTTTACAAAATGTTTCCAGCAATAGAAGGACTGCTGGGCTAAGTGTGTTGAGTCCCAAGGGGCCTACTTTGAAGGGGATTAAAGTCTGAACTCAGTAAGTAAGCTTGTTTTTTTTTCACCTGCTAAGGGTCAGATACTTTTCGATCAGACCTAGCATATGTTACTACAGTACTTAGGCTGCAACACATGAATATTGGCAAGTGTATAGCCTAGGTATCAGGACAGTGTACTTCCACCAACATCATTAGAATTCGTAACTGCTCTAACCTACCGGTATATTTATAATCTGATTTTTTAATCTATCAGTTTCACCACTTGTCAGCATACTGTACTAGCTGGTCGGGCAGTCAGTCTGTTCTTTGTTATGACCTTCATTGTCCAGTGCTTGTACAGGAGGAAACAGAAGTACCCAGAGAAAACCTGCAGTGTTTGGTAGGGTCACACTGGATAACACCCATCTCACATCTGACCAGGGGATTAAACCGAAGACAAAGGTGAGAGGCAAACACACTTCCGTTGTACCACCAACACCCCATTTCACTGTTGAGTAATTTGATTTATGATTTAATTTATCCATTTCACCCCTGGTCAGTTTACTAGTTGGCCGGGTGGCCAGATTATTCTCTGCAGAAATGGGTAAAGTACTGATTTATATTTACTTGAGTAAATGTACTGTTACTGCTTGAAATACAGTACTGTACTTACATAAATAAAAGTAAGAGTACCCATTCATGGATGAATATTTGATTTAAATTAAAAGGTGCCATTATATACAGTACTTAACCCTTAAGCCCCGGGTTAGGGTGCTGTTGGAAGTAACCCCCCCCCCCTGCAGGGATAAATTGAAAAAAATCAACTTTTCCAAAAATAATAAAATAAAATAAAAAGTGGTGGGAATAGGCGGACGTTCTGGAACGTCACCTGGGGCCTAAGGGTTAAGAAGTTTGCAAAAGTAAAAAATAAAATATTGATAGTACAAATATACAGTGAAATCTTCATTTTTTATTAAAACAATCATTTACAGTACAGTTCTGCACACATTCCACTTCCTTAGCTTTAGTGGCAGCTGTTTAAAGATTTGTTCTTCTCGGGAACAAGAGCCCAGCGAAACTAAACAATGGCTCACATGCTGCAGAAGCAGACAAAGGGATATTTGCTTTGATAGATGCCATCAAGATGGATGAGAAATTTTTAAAACATCCATACTGGCTGACGTGTTTGTCAGGTAACCATCTAACTCTCTGGTCTCGTGGCTGGTGAAGATCTGACAGATGAAAAGAAATCTCCTTCATCCAATGAGCTGGTTTGGGGATTCAGATTTTATGATGGTGCTGCAATTTCACTGAATTTCCCACTATGGTTTTCAGTGAAAAATAACCCCTCCAGATAAAGCCACAAATGATTTTTTTAAGGTTGACATGGCCACAGCAGGATGAAGCTTTTGGGGTCAACACTAGATTGAAAATGGTTGCTGTGTTCCTGTTCCACACCACAGGAGACCTCACTGCTTGTGATTGATTGGTTTGCTTAAGGTGTCTAGTCAGTGGTCCAGGTTATGTAGCTGCTCTTATTTTGTTATAATCCTCCATGGTTTTGTAGACAACTATGATTCTACTTGCACGTACTGTATTGGTGTATTGGGGTAAAAATGCTTGTTTCATTAGTAAACAAAAGCTTAGCAGAATTCATAAGTTGTGACAAGTCACTGAGATGATAGAGAGGTCTCTTTCAGTGCTTATTATTATTTTTTACAAAAGCTTTACTAACTTGTTTACAAATATATAACTTTCATTGCTGTACATAGAGCTGTACAGTATTCACAGTATTTCTTAATAAAATGCATTTCTGTAAATCACACTTTTTCTAACAGTGTTAGCTGCCAAGGTGCAGGTGTTTATCACACTGCTGTATAAGATTTATTACAGGTATGTAAGCTCTCATATATTGGTCAGCCATACAAGGTACTTTGCCATTAGTATACAATGAATAGTATTCACGACAGTTGATATTCATATGTGATATGCTTGAAGAAATTGGGCATACTGTAGTTATTAGAATTGAGTAGGAGCATATTTGAAGCCAAAGAGGGTGCACAGTACAAGATATGTAAAGCAAACTACAGGTAAAAATACCCACATTTACCCATGTTCTGGCCATAAACAGGCTGTTGACTGATTTTGGACTGTAGCTCAGCTTCTACTGAACCAACATTTGTGACCCTTTTCCTACTTCAATTCACATATTTTTGAGTACATCATATAGGTACGATTTTCATGTCATATACAGTATTATGTGGCATACAGTAATCATACACTATACAGGAACAGATTTACCCTAGATGTTTAGGGTAGTGAAAGTTCACCATAAGATATTGAGATATTGTGTGTGAAGGGGAATAGATAAAGGTGTGTCCTCACCTATTTATGTGAGCGACTTGAGTGTTTTTGTACATGCACTTCTGTTATGTGTTTTATGTGAATGTGTAAATAAATTATGATTAAAATTTATAATTTTGTATATGAACCTTACTGCATTTTCCAACTCATGGGTTGGAACTGATGCAGAGCCAAAGAGTACAGCATTACGTATAAAGATTAAACATTCTCAGTGGATATTGATTGCTCCACCGATATTTTTAAATAAATATAAGCAATAAGTTCAGCAAAATAATTTGAACAACTGATTATCAAATTCTTCCCAGGTACTACTGCACTCATAATGTGGAAATGAAATTTTATGCAGATGAACAAATTGGTAAAAGTTTTTGCTCCCTCCCTGTACAGTATTTTGTGATTGGATATTAAAATCAGACTGCAATTGTGGATAATCTTATTAGCCATCCTAGCCAATGATAGTTATTTATTCTATTTGCCAAGCCTTTTGACAGCATACCCCATGAAAGGCTAGGAATTAAACTGAGAGAGTACGGGATTCAGGGAAGTGTTTTAGCGTGGATTGGAGATTTTCTTCATGACCGCAAGCAGTGTCTGGTGATTAATGGCATGAAATTGTCATGTGTACCCATGAGAAGCAGGATACCATAGTGCAGTGTACTGGGCCCATTGTTGTTTGTTTGTTTGTTTGTTTCATAAATGACATGCCAGAAGCTAAAAGCTTTTCCATACAATTGTTTGCGGATGATGCCAAGTTACTCCTGGGAAACTAAGAACCAAACAGAATATAAAGAGGTACAGAAAGATTTATGTTAGTGTAAGAGGATCCACCTAAGTCATACCAACAATAAGGAGGCATATCACATGTCCCAACAGGATGAAGAAGCAACATTAATAGAGACCAAATTTGAAAAGGACCTGGGTGTGTATGTAGACAATGAACTGAAGTTCTTAGACCATTGTGAGAAAAAGATGAATCAAGCAAATAAGCTAGTAGGTCTTATAAGAAGGTCGTTCAGATATTTAAATGGTCCATCCCTCATAACGCCCTTCAAGATTGAGGTGCTCCTCGTCTGGTCCCTGAAAATTATGCGAGAGATTGTCAGTTCATTGATAATGTCCAAAGGAGGGCCACCAGGCTGGTGCCTGCACTATGGCACCTCAGTTGGGGTGTGCCCTCAATCACCCACATCGGGGCCTGAGAGCGAAATTATAATAATAATAATAATAATAATAATAATAATTAATAAAAAGAATGAAAAAATATTAAATAAAAGGACAATAATAATAATAATAATAATTAATAAACAAAATGAAAAAAATATTAAATAAAAAGATAATAATAATAATAATAATAATAATAAAGGACCACCATAAAAAACGATTTAATAGTGAGAAACGATATATGTACTGTATGTTGTGTTGTCAAAGTAAGAGAAACAATCGAAACCCTGCAGGGTTTACCATTAAGCAACACATTATGTTTCCAATATCTTCCCCAGGCGGTAGTACTGTAGTGGATCTCTCCCCTACAACTGCGTATCCGCATTCCAATGCGACAGTATCCTAGCAACCAGTGAGCTGCTCAGTTGGGGGGGGGGGGGTCACCAGCTGCTACGTCTACCCTAGCAACGGAGTCAAGAAACCGGCGAGTTCCCACGGGTTTACTTCCGGCTGCTGTGTATATAAGCTCTGTCTCTCCATTGAGATTCATTCTGCCCTACGTTCCTGAACACGCAACACCTCCTCCAAGCAAGCTCCTCGCTGTCCAACTCTCTTTCAACCTGGAGGACAGCAACACGCAACATTCTTCTAACGAAGCTCCTGCACAGATACCTCCTAAAACACGCTACTCACTGAATGCGCCTTCTGAGCAAGCTCCTCACCACACAGCATCTCCAGCACCAGACTGTCTTGTATATAATATATTTTATATAAGAAAACCACCACCTAGAGTTTTCATCCATCCTGAGTGCTAGACAACATAATATCACGAAACCCTACAAATGGTGACCCCCGGAAAAACGCACTCACACAGGATGGAGGACGGACAGATCTCTCTACCGACTTTCAACCACAACGTCAATGACTGGTTAGATCATGTGGAAGCAATCCTCATCAGCTCACAAGCTACTGACGAGCAAAAGTACGGTGCCCTGCTCTCCTCCTTGCCCACGGAAGTCGCCACGCATGTATTCCGGACTACTTTCAACCCTCCAGAAAACAACAAATTCGCCACCCTGCCGGAACGTCTTAAAAACGCATTACCGACAGACCCGCCCCAGTCTCTTGCAGAACCTATCTTCTATCTTCCTTGGAAACTCAACTCCGGGACTTCTCTGGGAGGAGATGTGTTGGCTGAACTCCCGGCACGCAGACAGACTTCCCGAACCTATCCTGCACCAGCTTCACGCACAAGAGCTCCCCACACAAGTATTTATCACCCTGTCCACAGTAGATTACTCGTCGACACCTGAACTTTATGCAACCGCGACAGTGTATTCAACGAATACACTGCTGTGTACCATGCTGCCGCAAACCACTCAGTGGTTACACCTCCACTTAGCCCCGGTTTCGTCAACCTGATCAACGCTCCTCAGAGAAGTAGCATTCCACCAGACAAGCAAGACATCAGGGACCTGTTGCAAACTTTGAACCGCAGGATGGACACCATTGAACAACTCTGCTCCTCCATGCCTGCTTCTTCTCCTGTTCCTGCCCCATGCACTGTGTCCTACCAACCCCAATACCCCCGTCCTGCCCCAGACCCCGCCGCCAGCCCCCAGCACAATGTACCTACCTTCTGTTGGTACTATCAACGTTTTGGCGCTAAAGCTTGACGCTGTGAGGCTCCCTGCAACTACACGGCGAAGCAACATCGACGGAGACTGGTAGGCGCCATAACCTCTGCCACTATCAAGCAGCACATCACACGCCTTACTTCTGACCTTGACCACTTCACTCCTGCTGCCCATCACGACCTACTACAAACACAACATCAGGCGGTTTCTGCATTCAAGGCTACTGCCCCACGCCAGCCTTCCCACCGCCCTGAACACATTCATCCCGCACCTCCTCCGCCAGTCTACCCACCATTGCCACTTAGAGCACCACCTCGCCCACAACATTTCTGCATATCCTCTTTTCATCCTCAGGTACCTACTGCTCCTGACGACCCCGCAGCCGGCCCTAATGACCCAGATACCCCACCCGGTCCCCCTCCACCCGCGGCGATAGAAGCACCACATTCCTCGCGAGTGCAACCTTCTCCTATCCACAACCCTCCTTCTCCCTGTGCTTCTCCCACAGATCTTGTGCCTCCAGACAGAGTCATCTCCCGCAGTGGCCAACTGTTCCACACCCCTGCCCGTTTTGTCTCACATGTGAGATACAACCCTGCCGACAACAAGTCTCCTGCAGCGCCCGGAGGGGAGGGGGAGTATTGTAGTGGATCTCTTCCCTACAACTGTGTATCCGCATTCCAATGCGACAGTATCCTAGCAACCAGCGAGCTGCTCGGGGGTCACCAGCTGCTACGTCTACCCTAGCAACGGAATCAAGAAACCGGCGAGTTCCCACGGGTTTACTTCCGGCTGCTGTGTATATAAGCTCTGTCTCTCCATTGAGATTCATTCTGCCCTACGTTCCTGAACACGCAACACCTCCTCCAAGCAAGCTCCTCGCTGTCCAGCTCTCATTCAACCTGGAGGACAGCAACACGCAACATTTCTTCTAACGAAGCTCCTGCACAGATACCTCCTAAAACACGCTACTCACTGAATGCGTCTTCTGAGCAAGCTCCTCACCACACAGCATCTCCAGCACCAGACTGTCTTGTATATATATTTTATATCAGAAAACCACCACCTAGAGTTTCCATCCATCCACCCTGAGTGCTAGACAACATAGTATCACAAAACCCTACAGTACCTCCCTGTTTGATAGCTGCTTACTACCTTATACTGTACATTAGGCTTATATTCAATGGTGACCCCGGAGTGACTATTTGTGGGGTAAGGGTTGTTTGTGTTCACACTCAGGATGGGATGGAGGAAGGAAACTCACAATGCGCTTTCTGTATATACATTGTTGTACAGTGCAGTGCTTAGGAGTGACTAGGTGAGGAGAAGCTTGTTCAGAGGTCCTGTAAGGTGAGGAGGTTTCTGAGGAAGCTGGGTGGTGAGGAGCTGTGAGAGATGTTGCTGGGCCGGTAGCCGAGTGTAGAATGGTCTCCCTGGTTCAAGTTTAGAAGCTCCAAAAGTTGTTGGTAGCGAAAGGCAGAGCGGGGAAGATGGCAGAGGAAGGAGGAGGAGATTAGAAAGGGAATTGTAGTGGGAGAGATAGTGCCATGGCTTTACACGACTGCGTTTATTTGGTTAGCGCATAGCGCACGTATTTGGTTTTGTCTGTGTTGGGTGTGTGATTCTCGGGTCACCACTCCTCCAGATTGTGTCAGTTCAAGTTTAGAAGCTCCAACAACTTTCCCTGAATACAAATTCGCAACCTTTCGATTTACAACAGGTACCTACTTTACTGCTAGGTGAACAGGGACCAAGGGGGCTAGGAAGAGTGTCCAAACAACTTCCGCTTGCCCGGGAATCGAACCTGTGACATCTTGCTTGCGAGGTAAGAGCGGTACCGCTTCTACCACAAGCGCCCCTAGGTCTCCCTGGCCAGGCATGGCCGTATTTATACAATTTACGAGGATCAGGATTTGGGGTGAGCGTAGCGAGAGGGCCAATCACAGCGGCTTAAGCGTAAGGTGTGAAACGCTCTGATCCTGAGCTGGAGGTTGAAGATCGAGACTAGGTCGGCGATCGTACCCCTGTCCACTGCATAGACCTAGTCTCTCGGCGTAGCTGGCTGTACGCTGATTGGCTGGTAGGCGCGCGGCCGGAGCTCAGTTGGGAGTTGTAGGGGAGAGGATCCACTACAATAGTACATCCTTCTTTCCTCACACAGCCAAACTGTGAAAAGCTCTGCTTTCTTCTGTGTTTCCACACTCATACAATCTGTCTCACTTTAAAAAGCTAGTTTGCCTTTATCTTCGTGGTGTAGATTAATATAACCTATTCCTTTTCTATTTTTAATTTATTTTTATTCTTATTTTTTCGCCTCCTTGGCCCCGTTGTGGGTCGATAACCTTGTAGGGGTATCGAGATATTAATGTTGTCTAGCACTCAGGATGGAAGGAAACTCTAATGTGGTTTTCTTGTATAATATATAAGTTATATGATAGACAGTCTGGTGCTGGAGATGCCGTGTGGTGGGGAGCTGCTCAGTAGAAGACGTTCGGTGAGTAGCGTGTTGAAGGAGGTAGATGTGCAGGAGCTTCGTTAGAGAAGATGTTGCCTGTTGCTGGCCTCCTGGTTGAAATAAATGTTAACAGTGTGGAGCTTGCTGGAGGAGGTGTTGCTTGTTCAGGAAAATGGGCAGAATGAATCTCAATGGAGAGACAGAGCTTATATACCCAGCAGCAGCCGCTATGAGTCATGTTGGGAAAACCCGAGAAGTCGCCGGTCACTAGTTCCGTTGCTAAGATACGGTAACATCTGGTTGGTTGCTAGGGAGGATGGTAGCAGCTTGGTGACGCCGCTACGCAGTTGTAAGCAGTTGTAGGGGAGACGTCCACTACAACCTGTGTCCGGGTGGGCTAATCCCCGTAAAAAAAAAAAAGATACTTAGGTGTTTTTAAAATCAGTTTTGTACAATGATTATTTTCACTTCTATTTATTTTCTTGGGCAAGTACTTAGTTTTCTAGATATAGGCAAATTGAAATTTAGGTTAAATTAGATTAGGTTAGCACATGATTTCGGCTATTTTTCTATTTTTTTCCAAGATAATAATATAGTCTAATAAAAATAGTGAAAACTGGGTATTTAAAAAACAAAATCACTTTATAACAGCAGATGGTCACGATCCGAATAATTGTCATACATTACTATAAACGGGCGATAAATTAATAATATAAATTGCATCTGGGACATGCTGTACTAGGCCGAGGTTTATTTGAATCCGGATTAAAAATATTCTCAGCAATAAGCATGCAAAAAAAGTTTATCAATTAATTTAATGGGAATTACCGATGCTATTTATCTTTTATAATTAAAGAAATGATTGCTAGTAATTAATAAACAGCTATATGTGACTATATGTTTCTTCAATATTAATTATCTTTTAAGACCAATCACAGTCCCTCGCCTTGGTAGTTGGCGCCAATGGTTTGTAAATAGTGAAAATGTCATCTAACAAGAGTCATGTTATTAATTTGTTTAAATTACACGGACTTGCAGTACGTAGGTAAGGGGATTTTATGAAAGAATTGTGTATCAAAACCTCTTCATACTTGTGATAATATACACAATACATGTGCCAAACTGAACTGATAAACAGTAACTCTTGAGGACACTGGGTATATCTACGGCAATAGTATTAATGTTTAGGTTAGTCAGAAAAAAAGCTAATATTATGTTTTTCCAGTGTATTTTTTGGGTGTTTAGATTGGTTCTGACCTTTATATCCGTTGGAAGTGGCCTGTTTTTTTTTAATTATCTCCCCCTTCTACCCCCAACAAGATATGGGATCCTGATGGGAACCGGGGTATTGGGTGGAGCGTTTTCTGATAAAAATAATGACCAAGTCAATACAAAATACACCAAAAAACACTTGGAAAACATATAAACCTAACCTTTTTTGAATGACCTAACCTGACCTAACCTAACTCTCATGGTGATTTTACATAACCAAATTCTCACCATATGAGGGAATCACTTATTGTTTACCTTACTGGCCGGGTTCTGGTTCGTCTCTTCTTTATCTTGGGAATACGGAACAAATTACTATGTTGGTCTTGACGATATTAACGATAGTAACGGTCAATTTATAGTAGAGGACGTAATTAGGTATAGGTTTATTTTGTGGATAATTATAATTTCATACAAAAACAAAACAATTTTCTTCTATGACAGTTTTGTCACATTTTACCCATAACTGAGATATTGTGAATTGGGTATTTTTATATTAGTTCACACAACATTCCTACCCCAAGTCTATATTTGTATTAAAAAAAGACGTATACTTTTAAGATAATTTTCTTTTATTTCATTACCGTCGGAAGTGTATAATGGAAATAGCGCATGCCAAATCTTTCTCTATTTTCTTCCATTAATTTTCCCTTTATAAGTCGTCATGCACATGTATACATGTCACGCGGCCAATCAAAAGCTTTTCTTTTTTCATCTAATTTTGAGATAATTTTATTCTATTACATTACCGGGTCTGGTTACGTAAAAAACCGTGAGAGTTATGTTAGGTCAGGTTAAGTTATGTTAGCCCCAAAGGGGAGGTTTATAAGTTTTTTTTTTTTTTTTTTTTGTGTGTTTTGTATTCACTTGGCCATGATTTTTGTTGGAAAATGCTTGTTTCTCTCCCCCACCCAAAACCCTGGTTCCCAACAGCATCCCCTATCCTGTTGCGGGTAGAAGGGGGCAATAAAAAAAAAACCAGGCCATTTCCAACAGAAATCAAGGTCAGAACCAATCAAAGCACACAAAAAAAATAAATAAATAAATACTAGAAAAACATAGTTTTGACTTTCTAACAGAGTTGTGTGGACTACTATAAATTTACTATGAATTGAAAATCAGAAAACTGCTAGAACTGGTATTATTGCATTTGGGTAAATTTGCATTTTCAACCACTGTGGCTGTCGAGTTGAGCAATGTGTTTTTACGATGGTTTAGACAATTTTAAGACACTTTTCTTTTATGATGCTTCCCTCATAAATGACTTAAATATACCAGGGGATCCAGGGGGGCTGAGGTTAGATTAGGTTAGGTCATTTGCGAGGGAAACTTCATATAAAAAAAGTGTTAAAATTCTCTAAACCATCGGAAAAACACATTGCTCAGCTTGAGAGCTATATTGGTTGAAAATGCAAATTTACCTGCATTTGTTGCCACCTACTGAATCTTGGGAATTTTATCTTTGCCAACTATACAATGATACCTGTAGTTCCTAAGATGACCTTTCTGTCTAACCTAACCAAACTTAACCTAACTGTTAACAGCACAGTCCATTAATACAGCTGCTGTTCCTTTATACTTTTACTTTTATCATCTTCGCCACTGATTGGCTTGTTAGCCACTTTGATGTTTGGTCACATTTCTTTTATGCACTGTTGGCAAGTACTGGGCATGCACTGGCTCCTGAATGTATGCTCAACTGGATTTTTCATTACTAAAATAGTTTTTTATGTGTTTTGTTTTGATTTGAAAGAATATGACCTTTACTTTTGGGGCTAATGCTTAATTATGGAGATGTGACCCCTTTAACACTGGAAAGACAATGAATTGTTCCAAAGTGAGCAGGGGATTGAAAATGTATAGTTGTCTTAATTAACTATAATGGATGATGTTCATGTTTATCTTGACTTAGGGAGGAATTTTATCATATCTTGATCTAAGTTTGTCTTGAACTCAAAAGGTGAGAGATTTAAATGACAGAATCAGATGATATTGTACTGTACATGTAGTGTAAACTCCAGTAATAAGAATTGAGAATAATCGTTTTTGTGATGTGAGTTTATACCGTGCAGTCAATTTTCAGTGGCATTTTTACCTTTTATGTAAAAGAATGATGGAAAACCCAAATAAGACATTGATCACAGATATTTGCTCTGTCTTGGGTTTGTCAGTGATGGAGCCAAGTACCTGTGTGAGCTGCTGGATCCTCTGCCCAAAGATGAACATGATGAGTGGATAGAAAAAGTTATAGATGCTGTTCAGAAGCTACCCATAAGTTCCACCTTAATTTCAAAGGAACACATCCACAAAGCTGCTCAGGTAGGTGTTGTTGATGGTATTGTTAATGATTGCCTGGAAGCATATACAAATTTGAAATCCAGTAATAAAATTGTGTTTACCAGTTGCAGGAGCACCAAAAAGGACTGATATCAAACTAGTTCTTACAATAATCTACAAAATTTAATCTCTATTTAGTAATTCTGTGTTGATATTGTACAGTACGTACTTCCATATCTTTTGCTTTGTTATTCACCAAGCCATTGCTCATTATCAGCTTTCTCTTATTAATTTTCTTCATTGTTCATAATACTTAGCAGATATCTAATTGAGGAATCTTTTAAGGTACCCCGGTCACCACGAGTGACACACTTAAGGTTTAGGATGATGTACTGTATAATGTATCTTATTTTGGAAATTACAACTAGTATTCAGATTATACAGTAATGATATCAGGATGGACATGATACTGTCATAGTGAGTCTTCTAATACTGTACTGTATAGATAAAATGGGAGTACAATACAGTACCGTACAGTATTTAAAACTATTGTACTGGTAATTCAAAATGTTTGCACACGTGTACCAGTATAATAATGATCCTCACCTCACCTTTGTCTCATCAACCTGCGTTATATACCTTTACAGGTACTCCATTAAGTTTCTAAGATGCTGTGATACCAATTTGGAAGGTTTTTTGCTTTGCCCATTTGCACTTCTGTACCATTGTATGTTTTAATCTTATCACCAATCATAAGATGTATTTGGTGTTCATGGGCTAATTGCTCAGCACTCTTTTTGACTCTTCTTTTAACTTGTAAAAGTGTCAAAATACATTAATTTTGTTTAGATGGGCGAGTTGAGATCCCTTAAACTTTTTACGATAACAATCAATAGATTATGTGAAATTATGCAAATAAATCCAATGAGTTGAAAGTCTACAGTACACATTAAGGGAAGGTATAAGGTTGAGGTATGGGTGCAGGATACCCCCAAAATTATTGTTATTATTTTTTAGGTTAGTGATACCGTAGTCTGAACCTAATATCATACTGTATATTTGTTAAGATCTGAGGATGGTGGTTACCTTAACTTATACAGTACAGTATATCTAAGGGTCTCATTAGATTGGCTGATTGGCATTCCAATTTACTTGCTCAGATTAGTTTGACACTTAACATTTAAGAACCCAATGTCCTTGCAAAAATGAGATTAGTCATAATATGTTATTCCTGTACTGTACTTCATAGGATGAAGACAAAACAATTTCAAAGAAACTATTCAAGGCTCAAGATGAAGGATAAGGTATAGCTGATTAGTTTCTGTTGCATTATCTAGGATTAATTTTGTGTGTAACTTTATAGACCTAAGCAGTTGCATATTATAAATGTCACTCAAAACACTTGTAAGGTTATAAGAGGTGTTTTACCAATCTATATTTTACAGGTAGTAGCATATGTTGTTACTCAGATCTCTAAAGAAAAAACTATTAATATAACGCCTAAGAAAGCATATAATATTCCAATAGATCAATATCCAATGGTCAAGATGCTATCACACCAAAGAGGTATTGTGATAAAAAAGTATGCAACAGAATTGACACATTCTTCATAAACACCACACCAAACAGACCAGCAACCAGAAGCTATGAAATACACCACATTAAATTCCAGAAGTTATTGTACAGGGGTACTGGGTATTAATTCAGTAAAACACACGAATCCCAAAAAGTTCTGAATTAAGGGAAGTCAGCTATTTCCTCTTTATCTGACTTTACATTAGCTTCATAACCGAGTCCTTTTCTGAATGAATTTTCACCAAAGTCTGATCTTATTAAGATTTAATAGGTTAATTGGGGAATTACTGGTTCCAATTTAAGATTCTGTTCACTTTATTGTCCTGGTTTTTATTGTGTGTACATCAAGGTATAGCGTAGAAAATTTAACTTTTTCTTGAATATCTTCCACAAAAGATATGGCTGAACATGTTGATTAAAGTTACGAGTATAAGGTCAAAATGTACAATTCATCTATAAAGAGTTAAGGTATAGTTGTAGGACTAGAAACATGTATAGAAAAGTAGCTTTAAGACAAGAGGATAAAACACTGGGGGTGAAGTCTGTCATTGATTGACCATTGATGATTATTCTACATATTATGAAATGCAGGACAGTAGAACCATGGTACAGCTATTAGGGATATGAATACTGTGCCAGTACACTACCAACTTCACCACAGTGTAGTGTGCTTGTTTGTTATAGTATATACAGTAAATTGAAGATGGTAATAATAGTTACCCCATGGTTAACATTATACAGCTACTGTATCAATAGAAAGACTTATTGTACTTATTCATGTTTTGTAGGAGGTCGGTACTTCAGAAAATGATGATATTGAAAACCTTTTGCAAATTGTGGATATCTACAAGGTGCCAAAGTTGATGTACAATTTAGAGAGAAAGAAATTTGTGTTGGCACCAACAAGAGCACGAGACTTACATGGAGATGCTTCTGATAAAGCGGCTCTCTTCCGGGACAGGTAATTATATTCCTTTACCAATTTAATTCTCTTTCATAGTATTATATATGTATTATGTCATATATGGTATAACTAGTATGCTTTCTAGGTGAATCAATTATTTCTTGTGTTCACCAAACTTTGACCTTGAAGTTCAAGATAAAAGTAAATATCTTGTATCCTCAAAATTCATAACTTTCAGTCTGTACAATTGAGAAGTGATACATGTCTCTGCAATGCTTCTCTTCAGCAGTAATATTTGTTTCCTTTTAATTTTCATACTCCCATGTCATTCTACTTACACTACTGTACTGTACTGTACAGTGGGGTCTCATTTTATGTGATTGGTTGAAATGTGACCATAGTTATAGATTACATGGAAAGCCTTGGGTAATGCGGGTAGCACTATAGCATTGATTTAGTTATCTTTTACTTGTATTAGCCTCTGTCTCATGGCAATAACAATGATATAAATTTGGGTTAATACATTTAGTTTATATAATCCAATCACCCTACTGTAATTTTCCATAAGCTGTGAGGTGCCATGTGCTGTTCACATGAGGGGAAATTCCTCTATCAGTAGGCCGACCTTGAGAATGTAGGGTCAGCCTAGCCTCTCCTTCTGAGCATCCCCTCACAGGCACCAGTCTTGACTTGAGTCTCGCCAGAATCGGACGGGTGACCTAACTCAGTCAAGCTGAGCCCCCGTCCTTAACTAACACTCACAGCTTACGGTGATTATACAAATAGACTGTGACCAATATAGTTTTACAAGTAAATGGAGAAAAGACCTTTTTGGGTTTGTTACTTAACCCCTCAACTTATTTATATATATAAGCCAAGTTAAGGGAACTCTACCCAAAGCTTATATACTGTATACAGTACTTGTTTAGCCCCAATTTTAGCAATTTTATTAATTTTAGTTATTGGACATTATAAGTGCCTAACATAAGTACAGTACATAATATACAGTCAACCCCCACTTTACGCAGTCCCACATTCCACGTTTCCACGTTTACGCGGTACCTTGCCGGAACCCAGGATGCTCACATTCCGCGGTGCGTGTACCCCATTACGCGGAGAGTGTCCGGCTCGACGCTATTTTTAGATTCGACCCACCCGCCTGCTCCCGCCTCCTCCCTCCTCCGCCTCCGCCTGGGCAAGCTGCACGGTAAGGTTGCACAGTGCATGTCTCTGTTGCGTTATCAGTGATGTCATATGACGTATCGGACTGTGATTGGCCATGCATCCCTACCTCCCTCCGCTGCTAGCTGTAATTGGTTTAAAGTTATATGACGTGTCCACCCAGGGGAGGGAGGGAGGGAGGGAGGAAAGACGACGCTTGACCTAGCCGCGGCAGTTTCATCCCTCCAGGCCACACCGTGTAATCGTGCATCCATTGTTCTGTAAAATGGCTTCCGCCGGACCACCGCCCCCCGAGAGAAACCTTTCCTTGCCTGGACCCAGCCGCCCTAAGCCCAAGAAGACACGACGTTCCTTAAGCTACGAGGTGAAGTACAAGATCATCCAAGAGTTAGAGAAAGGAACAAGACAGGTTGATTTGGCGCGCCAGCATGGTGTGAACGAATCTACGATCCGGACGATAAAGAAGGATGCAGCCAAGATAAAGGAGCACATGAAGATCACAAAGTCTACAGGTGTTTCTATGATCAAGTATTTCCACAACCAGGTGCTTCTCAAGACGGAAAAATTACTTGTGGGAATTACAGAGCCCAAACCCTTTAATGCTTCCTCTGGGTGGTTACAGAGGTTTAAGATGCGGAACAAGATCACCAATATAAACATTGGTGGTGAAGAAGCTAGTGCTGACCGTGCTGCTGCTAGGGAATTTTCTCCGTTTTTACGTGAGATTATGGAGGAAGGACAGTACACCGACGACCAGGTGTTTAACATGGACGAATCTGGTCTTTTTTGGAAAAAGCTACCTTCCAAGACCTTCGTTGTGAAGAATGCCAGCAAGATTCGGGGCCGGAAGTTGCAGAAGGAGCGCATCACCATCCTGTTTACCACCAATGCCTCCGGTACCTGTAAGCTCAAGTTATCGGTGATCCACACAGCCTGCAAGCCGCACGCCTACAAGAGCATGGACATGACCAAGCTAAATGTCCACTGGCTGACCGCACGTAAGGCGTGGATGTTCTCTACACTGTCCCTCTCCTGGTTTGATGACTGTTTCGTTCCCGATGTGAAGAAATTCTGTGAGCAACAGAATGTGCCATTCAAGATTTTGTTGCTGCTGGACAACGCACCAGGACACTCGCCCCTACTGTTAGATCGTCACCCCAACGTAAAAGTGGTCTTCCTTCCTCCCAACACTACGTCTATATTACAGCCCATGGACCAAGAGTTAATCTGTAATGTAAAAGCTGCATTCTCAACATAAAAATTCCAGCTCCTGAACGACTACACCAAAACCAGGGAAGAGTTGCGTAACCTGAGTGACACCACCACCGATAGCAAGAGCGAAGATGACGAGGATCAACAGTTGGCAGGGCAAAAAATACTTATCAAACAATTCTGGAGAATATTCAACATCAAGAAAGCTGTGGACTTCTTGGTGGAGGCATGGGATCAGCTGTCTGTAGCAACTGTTCGTCACGCATGGAGACATGTGTTGCAAGGCATTCCGGGCGTTAGGCAGAATCAATCTGTGACTGGTGAGGTTCAGACTGTTGCAGTAGCAGTGGACCTTGCCAGAGAGGCTGCGCAGAGTGTTACAGCTGCAGGCTTCTCCGAGACCACCAACGATGACATCCTGGAGGTGATAAGGGATTCTGATGTGACTACCGACGAGATGGTAGATGATGATGACGTCAGTGAAGAGGCAGGTGGTGCGTCATCCCAAGAAGAACACCGCTTATCCCATAGTAATGTTAGGGGTGCCATTGCGTGTGTTGAGAAAATCAAGCTCCTCCTTGCCGACAACCCTGACGCAAACAGGTATGAAATCTTCACTACCCAGCTGTTGCAGACTATGGAGCCCTACTTCAAGGTTTATCACGACAACATAAACACCAGCCGTCAGCAAAGCATAACAGAGTTCTTCGCCCGCAACCCACCACAGCCAGCCCAAGCCAATGATAGTGACAGAGGTAGAGACAGTGAAGATGACTTTGAGGGATTTGTCAGGGAGGCCCTGACAAGTGTGGATGACAGTGATGGTGACTCACCTGAGGGCCAGTAGCCTGCCCTCTGCCTCGGAACCAGCCTCCATCCCCGTATGCCGACCCATCTCTTCTACTAACGTAAGTGTTCAACCTAACTTTTAGTTTTCCTAACCTAACCTTTATTTTTCCTAACCTAACCTCTTCTATATTAATTGTTTGTGCATACCATCATAAAGTTAAGATAAAATTTTTACTACAACATAGTTGTGTGTCGTCAAAAAGTGGAGTTTGGGGGTTGGCCCGGTCTCTATTTCAATTAATCCCATATGTTATGTTGTTCACTTTACGCGTTTCTCACTTTCCGCAGTACCCTGTGGGTTGAATTAACCGCGTAAAGTGAGGGTTGACTGTACTGTAATACAGTTCATTAAGAAAGAATTTATTTTTGATAAAATATATTACCTTTTTTTTTTATAAAAATATATACAGTACTGAATTGTCTTTAATTGGGATACTGTACAATGGTTCAATTAGATTTGATATAGGCCTAACAAGAGCTAATAGGTACAAGATATGACACTTCATATGTAAACGTGCTGGCGGTGGGGGGAGGTGGGAGCGGCTGTTGCTGCGTTCACCAGTTTGTTTTTATTTAATCCTTATTATACTGTATTCTTGTATGATCAACCTATAATGGTGTATGTTTCATCATAGATAATATAACATACTGTACAGTATTAAATAATAGAACAACCCGAATCAGAAGGTAATCCTCTTCCTTGACCACTCACCCTCTTCCTCATATGATCAGCCTCTTATGGTGTGTTTTATCATTAATAATGTGAAATATTAAATAATAGAAAAAAAATATGATGTATAATTTCTAATTTGGATTCAAAACAAAAACGACAAGCCAGATCAGAATGTATTCTCGTCTCTGACCACTGATTCCCTCTCTCCACAAAGGGGGCATGTGAGTCCGAATCTATGGTTCACAATTCGATTACGGGGTAATTAGTGGCCATAATGGCATTTGGGATATTTTAATTATATTTTTCAGTGCTAATTACTTGCTAACTATGGGTTTCCAAGGTGCAATTTAGGTGTTTCTGTGTTATTCTGTAAGTACCGTATTTTTCGGCCGAGATGCACCCCCAAATTTAGTAGGGAGTATTAAGGAAAAAACTTTTGTGTGAATTTTCCTCCTGTAACCATAGTTTTCTTAAAATAATATATACAGTGCCAGTAAATGTGAGTAATAAATAAAAATAATACCAATAAATAAGTTACAACAAAAATATTGTATGTACACTTGCAACAAAAAGTATCAGTGCATACTGTAGTGTGAACAATTTGAGATAAGTGACGATAGGTATTGGGAAAGGCGAGTTGTTCCAGCTGTATGTTGGCAGCCCTGATTGTCAGCCATGTGGAGGAGGGGGGGGGGTTATGAGGATACACTTAACAACCTTCCCGACATATCACAGTGTATACGTATCGTTTTGGAACTCGTTGATCTCACCCTGCAAAGAAATGTATATTCCCTTTATGTGTTTGCCCTAAGGACAATTATTTCTTTTACTTTTTTCAAAATTTTTATGCATGATGCTTTGTTCATGTAACTGAGTAAAAATAAATGAAGAAAGTTGCGTATATCTACCCGAAAATATGAGACAAATGACCATAACACCTCACAGCTTGGCCCAGTAGCCTGGTGGTTACAGTAACGAGTCTAGCCTGACTACAATGCTGCCAGTGATGTTAACTGATGCAAATGTGAAAAGAAAGTTATCTGTAAATCTTCATTTGTATCGGGTATTTGTAGATTTAAAAATAAATGTTGCAGGTATGGAATTAATAGATTGTAATGCTTGCAAGAGTTCAGAAATGGTTACTACTTAGCTACCTCTGAAGAGTTGGGTGTCTGTCGTACGGACTTTAATCATCTTAGGTTATCATCATCAGTCAAGTAGTTATAAATCGAGCTTTTATATTTACAATAATTAACCTACTGGAGACAGTATGCGGGGGATTCATTAGCTTATGGGAGATCTCAGCTTTACATATAGAATGTAGGCTGAAATTTTTAGCCATTTTCCAGAAAAAAATGCATCTTACATGCCATAAAATACAATAATGAATAGACCAGGGAATACTGTATTCACATGCATATTACACTACAATATTATTTATTAAGTGCTGATAGATACTGTTCACTGCAATATTATTTAAGTGCTGATAAATTCACTACAATATTATTGATAAAATGCTGAAGACAGTTGCTGTTTTAAGTATGAAAGATGGAGAGTGCTGTTAACATGGTGATGGAGCTAGGATGATCAGCTGTTCACTCTTTGTAAATAAAAGACTAGGAAAATGATTTGACTCATCTGGGATTGAGTATTTTTTTTTATGTTGATCATTTTATGGTAAGGCTATATCTGCACCAAGTGAACCTAAATAATATGGGAATAATGGTGTAATTACATGACGATATATTAAAGGGGTTGTAGTGACCAGGCCAGTACAACTCCCTCTATCTGGCAGAGAAAAGGGGAAGAGAGCGACCCACCCCTGCTACCTCCTGCCTACACCCTCATCTCCCAAATATTCTTTATTCATAAGACAGGGTGTACTGTACAGTACATTGAAAAGCTTTTCCTCATATTCTGTGGTTGCCAGTACAGTGCTTAAATATAATACTGTACAGTACTTTACAATATGAAACATTCATATCACTGAAAACAGTTGTTGATGACCAGAGTTATGTCATCTTTTCTTGAAACAGTCCAAATAAGCTTTTTTTGAACTTTTGCATTTTCTGGACTGGGGTCTGATCCAATTAGTCCGGTGTATTGAGGTACTACTGTATTTGAACTAATACAGTATCTATTAAGTTATAGCAATGATCAAAAATTTATTTCTGTTTAGCAAAATTAATTTTTTTTTTGTTTAATCAGACAATTGATCCTTTACACTGTTCAGTACTGTACTATATACGTGTATAGTTTGTGTGTGTGTGTACATATGTGTGCATGTGTTACTGCATAAAGTAAGGATTTGTGTGTGTGTGTGTGTGTTCATATTATACGTATATAAAAGTAGTTTCCACATGAAATTAAAGCAGAATATTATTTCAGATACACTGTGGTTTACCAGCGTACATGCAATCATGATTTGTTTCGTCAACCTGTTGTGGGCATGACTGATGATGACAACAAGAAATTTGGTCTTACAAAGGTACAGTATAACTGGGCCTGTTTGTTCTTTGTCTTTGTGTAGTGTCTTTCTGGCATTCTTTTACTTGGAAATATTTTGCTTCTTCAATTTAATTATCTTTTTATACATTAGAATTGGTAAATATTCCAAAATTGCCATGCAGGAAATTACTTTGGAAAATAGGTTTTTAATGTACTGTATTCCATTGTTTCATACTAATTTGACCTTCATTTTACATTGGAAATGAGTACTTATAGAGACAGGATCCCCCCCTCCACAATTACCAACAATATTGGTTGTACAAAGTTGGCAGGGCTCTGAAGTGGAGGGAAATTGTGTGGCAAAAACATGCAAAATACTGACGAAATGAAACCTAACCAGAAAAACCAGAAGCACGTGACCTAAACTTAATTAATAGGTGTAGGAGGATAAAGTGATGACCCATGAATGAGGAAGTGGTGCAGTATGGTGTTCAAACACCGTAAACCCACAATTACGAGATCTTTCCCTCTCGGCGAGTCACCCATTCGTTTGTGTTGCCGGGCGCTCTCATACATCAGGCAGTTGTGTATGCTGTCTAGGCTGTCACATTTAGCTCTATTCAAGCCACTTGCCCCCAAAATACCTCCATTTAATGACCCTTATCATATGTTTTCATAAAAGAATTGAGTTCCCATCATTATATCATGTTAAAATATTTTGTTAATGGATTTATTTTTTATCAGTCTTTTAGAGAATTTGTTTGGGATCATTTGGTATCAAATTTATCTTTCTAGCACAGTTAGAACAGATGCCATGGATAAAAGTTTAAATTTTTTCGCTAGCTGTAGATAATTTTGCTCATGGTCGCAGCCTAATATAATAGGAGAGTGGTAAGAGAATCATACGATGTAAAAGAGTGTTTCTTGTGGTATATATTACTGTATTATCTGTACTGCACTATAATATATCTGTTGATGAAAAATAGAAGCACATAGTACGTGTTAATAGCACAGTACTATGTTTAGTAATTCTTAAATTATCATGAGGCAGTTGAGTCTTGAGGTGACGAGGCGGTTGAGGCAGGAATTGATTGTACTACGCTCATAAGGAAGAGTGGAGATTAAGTTTTCACTGCTAATTTCATTGACTATATGCACTGTGTACTATTCATATTCCTTAGACACTTTTACTGCCTCCTTGGTGGCAGCGGTTGAGTTACCCTCCTGCGCCACTACAGTGGCAGCCCTCGCTTACACAAACTTTCCCCATTGCTACTAATCGAATTTTAATTGTGCTCTTCCGGGTTGGGATATGCGCATCCAGTGCTGGACTCCAGTCCGGTTTGCAAGGGGATCCATATTAAGCGAGTTTGGGTTAGAGGGATTTTACTGTATAAGAATCAATATAGAGTTTCATGCATGACAACTATGAAATATTAACCTTAGAATTTGTAGTAGAGGCTGAATATAATGGCTTAGTTTACTCCTTGGTATTTTGTTATTTGAGTTGATATATACAGGTATTTAAGAAAAAAATATTAAATTGCATTTATGTTCTCAGATCCTATAGTACTGTAATATTGAAAACATTTTAATGTCTTCATGAGAAGATGATTCAAACATTGGCAACATTTTAGGTCGAGTTTTTGATGGGATCCAGCTCACGTTTAGAAGAAGTTGTAACATTGGGACTCCTTACACAGCTAGTAGAGGGCCAACACCACCTTGAGGATGACACAGGAGCTGTCCGACTTGACCTTACTAATACCAAGTTCCATACTGGTGAGTAACTTAGTACCACACTGATGAGGAACTGTACATTTGTCACATTATTGATACCTTATCAAATTCTTCACTAATTCATATTAATATTAATTTCCAAATTGATAAACATTTGTCACATTATTGATACCTTATCAAATTCTTCACTAATTCATATTAATATTAATTTCCAAATTGATAAATGGTCTTAGAAACACCTGTAACTCCAGGTGGGTTTCTGTTGAGATGCCTTCAACATCAAATTCTTCAGTGTATGAGTTACCTCACCAAGTTCCACACTTGTCATTGATATGGTGACAATTTTCTACTGAAATGAGTAACCTCATCTATGTGAAGTTCCATCTTGATGAATGACAATACTGCCTTGCTTAACACAAAGTTTCATTTTTGTGAACAACTAGTAAAAATTTCTACACTGATGTACAGTACTAGTAAATAATTTCCACACTTAATTACGAAAAAAAAGCTCCAGTGATGCAGTTGTAAAAAAATTTCACCGTGATGTACTATACAGTACTGTATTAGTAAAAAGTTTCACACTGATGTACTAATATAAGGATCCACACTAATGTACTGTACTAGTAAATTGTTTTTACATATTGTGTGTTATAGACTTTGTATATGATGGTGTGTGTTGATATAGGAGTGAGGTATGATACAATGTGGTGTAATGTTCTTGTTAGTGGAATGGATATTTATCACATACAGTGCAAGGTCTGTCCAAAAAGAAACCAAACTTTTTAAAAACAATTTTATTGCTTTGCTTACAACTTAATCAGACTGTCTCCTTCAAAGTACTCCCCTCCACTGTTGATACACTGCTCCCAACGTTTTTTCCAGTTCTGGAACGCGTCCTGGAACGCATTTTGAAGGATGGTGTGCAGGTCTCGTAGCGAATTTTCTTCTATCTCTTCTAGCGTCTGAAATCGGTGACCTTTCAGGGTGGACTTCAACTTCGGGAACAAAAAAGACCACAGGAGCCAAATCTGGAGAGTAGGGTGGCTGGGAGACGATAGTCGTCTCGTGCTTCGCCAAAAAGTCATGGATAAGGAGCGACACGTGAGCAGGTGCATTGTCATGGTGCAGCATCCAGGTCTTGTTTGTCCACGCAGGCCTCTTCCTTCACACTGCCTCCCTCAAATGCTTCAGGACCTCCAAGTAAAACTCTTTATTGACTGTCTGACCGCGTGGAACAAACTCATGATGAACGACGCCCCTCCAATCAAAAAAGACGATCAACATCACCTCCACATTTGAGCGACTCTGACGTCCAGATTTGGGATCGTCTTCGGTGGATGTTCTTCCCCTTTTGAAACGCTGGTACCACACGTGACATTGCGTACGGCTCAAACAATCCTCCTCATAAGCCTGTTGCAACATTTGAAAAGTCTTTAAAAGTTTTTCCCAATTTGAAACAGAATTTCACACAAACACATTGCTCTTCAAGATCCTTCATTGTTCAACTTGCAACAAATCGCCAAGTGCACTAAACACACGTTCATTCTAGCGTGTGTAGCTTGATGACTAATTGACGTGGCATGATGCGGCTAGTGTTAGACTAAAGGTCAAGGTCACCGCTACACAGCGCACCCGTCGCGAGCACGCTGCACCGGCTCGTTGGCGCGCTATTTAAAAAGTTCGGTTTCTTTTTGGACAGACCTTGTACAGTACTATAACCTGGGTATTGGAATAGAATACTTTATATGGTAATTCCAATATTAGCATTTTAAAATGTTTATGGTTTTGCCAGTTTTAATATTGAAAATACACAGGAAACTGTAAATCTTGGCTTCTTATGATAATCATATATAGTAATTACCCTGTGTTCTTTGCTCTCTCTGATTGCCAGGATAGAGTATAGACTGCTGTGCATCCTCAAGTATAATTAGCAGGTTAATTGTGTCATGTGTTGCTCTTCTCCCTATACAATACCTTTTCTTTGTAATATGGAATACAGTGATATCCTCGTTAGCTGGAACAATTGGTTCAGATATTTCCGGGTAATGAGACGACTTTCTCAAAGCTGGAAAAAAAATCTCTCATCCCCGGAATTTTCCAGGTTATGGAAAAATGTTCTTGGAAGTTCCAGAAATTGCTCATTACATTATCTCTCGAACCCGGAAAAATATCCCTCATCCCCAGAATTTAACGGTAGCGGAAATTTTTTCTCAGTGTTTCCAGAAAATGCGCCTGATTCTCATCTCTCAAACCCAGAAAATAACTTCCCCATCCCCGGAATTTTCCAGGTATCAGGATTTTTTTGGGGGGAATATTCCGGAAAATCGTTCCCAAAGCCGGAATTTTACGGAGAATTCCGGTGTTGGGAACGATTTTCCGAGAAAATTTCAATTCTGGCTATCTGAGAGTTCCGAGTTTGAGGGATTCCGGCTAAGGGAGATATTACTGTATTTGTAAATTTTTATCAGGTTTATTCACACACAACTGTTTTGTCCTGGTGGATGGGTGGTATGAGGATGGCTTACTGCATGCCAATGCTATTGGACTTCCACCTCCTGAAGCTCCCAGCTCAACAAGGTTAGTTTGGGCATGTGCATTTTGGTAGAACATCCAGATGGTTAGTACTATACAGTGAACCCTCGCTTTATGCGGTCAATTGAACCCACGGAGGCCCGCGTAACGTGAACAACATAACATATGGGATTAATTGAAATAGAGACCGGGCCGACCATCAAACTCCACTTTTTCAGACACAATACCTACGTTGTAGTAAAAATAACATCTTAATTTTATGATGGTATGCACACACAATTAATAATTAAGAGAAATATCAATAATATTAGGTTTTTTAACACTTACATTAGTAGAAAAGATGGCTGGGCACACAGGGATGGGGAGTTGGTTCCGAGGCAGAGGGCAGATTATTGGCCCTCGCCTGTATCACTTGTATCAATTGTATCAGTATTCACCACAGAGGCTTGCAGGCCTCTTTGTCAAACCCCTCAAAGTCCATATCCTCACTATAATTATCACTATCACTGACTTGGGCCGGCTGTGGTGGGTGGCGGGTGAAGAACTCGGTAATGTTTTGATGACTGGGCGACCTTGTGCGCACCCTGCCCGCGCCGCTCTCCGCGTAAAAGAGTACATGCACCGCATAAAGTGAGCATTTCGGGTCTGGCAGGGTACTGCGTAAACGTGGAAACGCGTAAAAAAAAGACGCGTAAAGCGGGGTAATACTGTAGTACTACCACCACAGCCTTTCAGTTTTATTAGGTTTAAAAATATTTTGCACAATTTGTCGGTTTCCTCTGTTGGTTTTAGGAAGTCACTTTGATGTTTTGACCCAATGACCTTATAAAGAAACTTTGAGTGGTGATAATGATGTTTACTAAGATTTATGAGCGACAACAGGCTTTGTGCTCTGAGCTTGATGCAACTCCCTTCTCTCCTATCCCTGGGAGTTTAGAGGCCCTCCTTATTGTACCCGGTAAGTACTGTCAAAGAAATAAAAGCAGTGAAGATTGGGATTTCTGACATTGAATTCATGTAATCAGATTAATAAGAGGCAGAAAGTATGATGATTGAAAGGAACCCGATTTATATTTCTACTTTTTGTTATTGAAAATTTTATGCTAATATTTTTCATATGAATTATTGATACATATTCATGCGCTCTTAGTGTCATGTGTTAATTTTGTTTTTAATTCTTTCCTTCTTGGTGAAAATAATTGAAAACATTCATACTAACATCAGTAGGAAATGTACAGATACAGTACATAAGTTTCCAACCTGTAGGATAACTTGAGTTTTTTGAATGATGATACAAACACAAATATTTGTATTATTATTTTAAAAATTTTATATACTGTATCATACCATCTAACAAGAAAACAACTATAAAATTAACACTGGGAAATCATTTCCCCCCAAAATTTATAGAACAATTAATGTGGTAATCTAAAGTGTAAAAGCAAACATAAGAATGTTTGTTTGCTTTTAATGAAAATTAGCCCCTAAATAACCTCTTCATGTTTTGAAGTAGATACACAAGAATATGTTCTGAAAAAATTCACTCAGAAGTTGAGGTGGTGTGCTACACTTTCCCCAGTCAGGGCAAGCTACTTACTAACTAAGGCTGGGCACAGGCAGCTCTTACATAACTCATTCCAATTGCTTAATACTGTACCAGTGTACATATAATGATCCAATGTTTGACTTATTATTGCTGGATATTTAACAAAATAGCTCCATAAAAGAGAGGAATGGAAAGGAATTTGCTGAACCAACCCTTCCTAGATACAGGCAAATACCAGTAGAAGTTGTTGAAGTTTGTGGTGAATTACAGTATACTTTCCCAGGAGAGAATAGGTGTTTGAGTGTATGCTGGGGATTAATTATGCCTCTAATGTGATGTTTTATACTTGTATGTTTAAAGTCATATAGAATTCACAAACACTAAATAAATACCTGTACTTCATTATATTAGATAAAGGCAGAAATTTTAAGAAATTGCTTAAATTGAGTGAGGAATTTGAGGTAAAAGTAAGAGTTCATCGGGGGTATCTTTTGAGCCCCTTTCTATTTATCAGGTACTGGAGGCAATATCACATGACTTTAGGACTGGCCAGCCCTGATAGCAGATAGTATTGAAGAGGTAGTGAAGAAATTTAAGAAATGGAAAGATGGAATAGGGGCAAAGAGTCTGAGAGTGAATGTAACAAAAACAAAAGAAATGATTAGGGGTGTAGGTGAAAGACCCTTGATGGAAAGTGGAAAATGGCCATGTGTTGTCTGCAGGATAAATTTTGGTAGCAACTCAGTAATGTGCAATGAGTGTGGCTGGTGAGTACACAAGAGGTGCAGTGGTAGATGGTTGAGTGCAGGATGTTGATGACTTTTAAGTGTTCTGTATGTGCAGTTAACCATGTGCCCACAGCAAGGCTGGGGAAACTGAACATAAGGACATGTCCCTGAACTGTGTTGAAGAGTTTTGCTACCTGGGTGACATGATCAATGCCAGTGTAAGAGACAGAAGTGGCTGAAGGAAGTTTAGGGAGTTGCTGCCTTTATTGATGACAAGAGGACTTCTCCTTTGAGTGAAAGAAAGAATGTATGCAACTGGTGTAAGAAGTGTGATGTTGTATGGCAGTGAAACATGGACAGTTAAAGAGGATGACATAAGTAGACATGAGTAAGCTGAAGTTGAATGTTGAGGTGGTTGTACAATGTGAAACTGAAAGGTAGGATGCATTATTCAGAGCTAAGAGGGCTACTGGGTATTGAAGAGGAATGGCAAAATCCTGTGTAAAGGCAGGTTGAGATGGTTTGGGTTATGTGGAGAAAATAGGTGAAACCAGTTGGGTCAAGACTTAAAGAGGTACATGAGCCTAATTGTGGAGGGGAAGTGAGCCAGGGATAGGCAAAGAATGACATGGGAAGTGGTTGTGAGAATTACATGACATTAGAGTTTGGAACCTGGCAAGAAACCTTGCAGCATGGAGAGCTGCCATCAGTTAACAGCAGCTAACCCATGCAAGTGTGAAATATGGATGATGGTGATGAGTAAAAGAAATGTGGGTACAAATCCCCTAATGCCTTGTGTGGAGTGATATGCTGACATTATGATATTTAGAAAATTTATTTTTACTATCACAGATTTCTTTTATTAGATACTGTATTGAAAAAATAAAACAAAATTAAACTGATAATTTTGCCATATTTAGAATCAGTGCCACTTATACCACTTTCCATAATTTATGCAAGTCATTTAATGCCATGTGTTATCTCTTCAGAGCGTTAATAGGAAACATCAACTACTTCGGTGGTCAGGGGAATGTGTGTGCGAAAAATAACCCCAGACTCCAACAAATTGAGCAAGAGAATAAAGATGCAATGTTTGTTGTTCTATCAGATGTGTGGTTAGATAAAATTAAGGTAAAGTGCTTTATTGTTGAGCAAGTAATGTGTGTCAAGCATCCTGTAGATTGAAAAATAATTACCTGTATTGGTGTTTATCTTCATGGATATTTTATATTATTTATCTAATTATTTTTTTCTTCAGTTGTACAGGGTAGCAGCATTTCAATTATGAAATACACTGTATTTATTTACCCATTGGATTTTTATGTACTATTTTTCTGTTGTTTTATTTCAGGTCACTGAAAAATTGCAGACACTGTTCAATGGTTATGCTCAATTCCCTCCAACAGCTTTCATATTCTGTGGTAATTTCGTATCTTCCTGCCATGGAGCTCAGCAGGTCAGTGAACTTTTCATGAATATGTAATGTGTTTGTTGAAAGACAAAACCATTTCCGTATTGTTAAAACATTTAATAACAATGTGGAGAAGTTTTAAATGGTCCTCCATGCCTTGGAGGCATAAATATTTGTTAAATGTGGTGATATGAGAACTGAAAAAATGTGGTACTTGTTTTTAGCAGATGAAGTATATTCATCTCTTGTATTTGTTAAGTCCCATGTAAAAAGATATCTAAACTACCTAAAAACAGTCAGTCACAAGATTGATGACTTACCACAGGAAATGCTAAACATGTTATCAGTTTCTATAAGAGATTGTATGTGTGATTCCAAGAAAATTTTTAGCAAGTATTGATTCATTACATGTATACTGTACTGTAATTTATAGATGAATGAAATTCTGCATTTTGTTAAGGTATGAAGAAAGATTACAACATTTATTATAATTTATATTGGATAAACCAACTCCTCTCATCAATAGGCTCATGATCTACGGCAAGCACTGGGGTCACTGGGGACCCTCATCGCTGGATATCCTGAACTCATGGCACACTCCAGGTTCATCTTTGTGCCAGGGCCTAATGACCCAGGGCCATGTAACATATATCCCAGGTGACTATGTAGTTTAGCTTTAGTAAACCATTTATTAAGACTAGAGACTGCAGGAGAGGTACTGAAACATATAGGGAAATATAAATATTCATGTAAAAAAATCTCACCCCTCCAATGGTGATTAGTGGTTGGCAATTGAGTTGTTGTATACAATTAGTTAAACTATCATCATCTAATAGAAAATCCAAATAAGGATTAATATAATTCTTAGTTTTTGTTTTATAAAATTGTTTTAGTAACATTAAATTACTAATTAGAGCTGAATTGGGAAAATTTTAGTACCTGTACTAGAGTACCCGTAGTCCCTCACCAACCATGGATTTCGGGTAGCCACAGTTTTTACTCTGTATACCATTTCGCCAACTGTAGCGTTGAATTTCGAGTATCCACGGTTTAGCGCAGCTCTAGAAAGGAAAGTTTAAATGCTTGATAGACTAGTGCTCGGTGAGCGCGTAGCATCAGTGGAACGAGCCATGGGGGTAAATGGATCTTCGATTCATACAATTAAGAAAAGTGGGGCTAAGATAAGAGCTAGTGTTGCTGGTGGCACACGGAAATGTGCAAAAGTAATTAATATGTCACGTGACCATAATCTTGAAAAGATAGAATAGATCACTGAACAGATGGGTGTAAGACTTGGCCAAGGCCCAAAGAAGATAAATACCCCTTACACTGTTAAATTTATATTACGCTATTTTATATGTATTTGACTCAAATTTAATGGAATGTACAATATAGGCTTTGATGAGGGCTATTGGTGGCTGTGGAACTTAACCTCCTTTTTCCCATAAGCCTTTAGTCTTACCAGCCATGGGGTTTTCCAGGAACCTAACCCCTAAGGTTGACGAGGGACTACTGTGTAATACTGGTTTCGAATCCGAAAGATTGGTATTCTTGCACCAGCTGACACAAGTTTGTTTAGGTTATCAGCAGAGACCAGCCAAATTTCAACCTGCACATACCTCACATTCTATTAATCCTCAAATTTTTTTTATTGTGACGATATTTGAGGAGTGCATACCACTACACTTCACGACTAAGAGTTTTATTATTATAGATACCTGTCGTCATAATTTTTAGTAGCCACCTAATTTTCTTGTGTTACAGTGGTACTTTAAGTATATTAGTGTAGGGATTGACATGTAATATTAATTATTACCTACCTATTTACCTTAGTTTTAGGTATTTAATAGGAATTATTACCTACCCATTTAACTTATTTATGTAAAAATTTATAACTTTCGATAGTTCATTTGGGAGGGGGGTTACACTACACTTCACCACATGTGGGTTGTAAACTCAAGCCGTTGTTGTCTAATAACAACTAGCCCACCTTATAGAGTTGTTATCCAGGAGGCTAGTACCTTAATTATTTCAATATTAATTTATATAAACACAGTACAGCGAGTTCTGCTATAACGCGTGTTTTGATAACGCGAATTTGCTCTAACGCGATTTATGAATTAGGAACGATATTTGTATAACGCGAACGCTTGTTTGCTATAACGCGATTTTTGCTTTCTATTTCTCCAATTTTGTGGTATTAACTGTGAATATGGTAAAGAAGAATATCTCCAAGAAGCGTTCTGGTGATAGAATTCCTGGTGATGATCTTAAAAGAAAGGATATAACACTTGAAGAGAAGCTCGATGTTATCAACCTCAAAATCACCCTTCTCCCCCATCAAGTTACATTCATATTTTTTCAAGGTAAAGTGTTACATTTACTGTATGATTTCATTATTAGATATGAATGTAACATTTATTTAGACTGTGCTATCCTTTGTGTTAGGCTAACTACTAAATTTTTTCGATTTCGAGTAATCTGCACCTAACCCTATTTTCTCCATAAGCCCTGTTATTTCTATTACGCGATTTTCTATAACATGATATTTTACAAGAACACAATTATCGCGTTATAGCAGAACTACCTGTATGCTAATGTTGATGGAGAAATTGTTCTAGAATCTATTCCATTATTCTTAGGGTACGCTGAATATAGTAGTGTGTATTTCTCTCCAGTCTATAAACTCACCGTTCTACACTTGTGAATCAGAGACCAAATGTTTGAGTATCGTTGTTGTGGAAAATAAATTCCCACGAGGGAGGATTTCTTGACATAACCCTTTGAACCGAGAAATGGAATTTATTGGAAAGAACTCAGCACAGAAGTCAGTTACAGTTTATTTATACCGTTGTCAAGGGAAACGGGTCAAATTTCCGACAGTTCATTATTATAGATATTGGGGACATGAGCTCCACCTTTTTGAACCTTTAAATTTTCTTCAGTGTCTGTAATTAGTCTTGCTCACAACCACAACTCTAATGTATATCTAGTCTCAAAAATGGTATCACATATCTTCAATGTTGTAATACAGGGGTAATTATTAACTTTATACAAGATATTTATTCAAATGTGTCTAAGGGGATAAATGATTCAAGTTGACAAAGTAGAATACATTGTAATTTGGCATGTTGAGATCATTATCATTTTCCACTCTGTCTGAATTGATAAAAGCATTAACCCTCTCACTCATCATGATGCAAAGTGCATCAAATCATCGGGTAGCACTTGCATTGGTGATGCAAATTGCGTCAAATCATTGGGTAGCACTTGCACTGGTGATGCAAATTCCGTCATTAATTTTTTAAAAATTTGCCAAAGAAAAGAAAAGATTTCTAGATAATTGTGCCAAATTTTCATGCATCATAGATGACTGCATGATCTTGATATTGATATAGAAACAGTTTATATAGCTAGAAAAATACAGATACAGTGGACAAAGTGTGGGTGGAGTTCCTCTGTTCATTAGTTTCCTCCCATCAGCTGTGTTGGTAGGTTGCATTTGGCTCTCTGTTTCCTCTCCCACCCTCCCCACAATTAATTGCATCAAAATTCCAAAGCCACCATTAGAAAGAACATAAAATTCCAGTTCCATAACTATGATAATACCTTGGTAGGTTTGTGAGAAAATATCCGAGATACGATGGTGAGAACACAAATACAGGGGGGTATTTTTTCTTTATTAGGAGTGAAAAATAGTCTTACTTTTGCCTTTTTTCTGCCTTAATTAAAGTTAAAACAATAGTGAAGCCAATGATGTATAAACCATGCCAAAAAAGACAATTTCTGTGGGGATAAATTGGTCACAAAACAAAGATGACCAGGCCTCACGTGAGTGGTTCCATATGACTTTTGTCGTGGTCACGGAAACTTAAAAACTTATTGCATGCATGAGAGGCTCAAGTAGTTCAGTTTAATTTTATATAACTTTTTGTAAGATTTGTAATTTTCCATCTCACTTTCCTTTCTTCAGGCATGCACAGCCATAGATAACTACAGCTCCTCCCCGACTTACGACGGGGTTAGGGACCCAAATCCAGGTCATAAGTCGAAATGGTCGTAAGTCGAAAATGCTTAAATAATACATAGAAAATCTAAAATGGGTGTCTCTTTTTCTTCTCAGCACCACAAAACTCTCACTTTTAAGCTTGCCAGCCATTTTAAAGTGAATTACAAAAGAAAATTTTGTCTGTGTACTGACATTGGGACTCGAAAATACGTACCGTATATACTCGTCTATAACCCCCCCTCGTTTATAGGTCGACCCTGATTTTTTGACCAAGAAATCGTTAATTTATGATATTCCTCGTTTATAGTTCGACCCACGTTTTTGAGGGTAATGGAACAACAAAACCTTCAGTAAAAACGCTCTACGTCCTATAAACTGAGGCTCACAGTGCCTGAAACACGAGTGCCGAAAGCAAATTGTTTACCATTTATTATTACGACACTTTACACTGAAACGCGGGTAGTCTCAACAAAAATATTGTATATTTCCATTCAAGTATTTATTCAAGTCAATTAGGAGGGAATATTATTGCAATACAACAGTTTTTTAACTAAACCATTCGAAAAGCGATTACGGTAACATCTTTTGAACGAAAGAAAGCGAAAGTCATTGTTTTCGTCACGATTTTATCCCACTTTCCACTGTAATACGTACGTAATTTCAGCAAAAATATTACATTTCCGTGAATGTATTATATCAAGCACAGTATGAATAGAATATCATTGTAATATAACAGTATTTTAACTGAAAACTAGTAAAAAAACCAATAACATCTCAAGAACATCGAAAGCTAGGTAAAGTCTTTTGTTTTTGTCATGTATTTTATCCTATTTTACATTGAAATACATCACGTTTCACGAAAACTACTATTTATTTCCGAGAATATATTCATTCAGACGCAGTTTAGGTAAAATATGCGTGTGATGTAACAGTTTTTTAACTGAAAACGATTCGAAAAACACGTACCCTCTAGCCCTGTTCAAGGAGAGGACTGGGAGAAGCTGTTTGGTGCTGCAGACAATGACAAGGAAAATGATTTGGATGGATTTTAATGAAAATATTCAGAAATATGGTATCGTAGTATTTATTCAAGTCAATTAGGATAGAATATTATTGTAATACAATGGTTTTTTAACTGAAAACCAATCGAAAAGCGATTACGGTAACATCTTTTGAATGAAAGAGAGCGAAAATCATTGTTTTCGTCACGATTTTATCCCACTTTCCACTGTAATACGTAGGTCATTTCAGCAAAAATATTACATTTCCGTGAATGCATTATATCAAGCACAGTATGAATAGAATGCCATTGTAATATAACAGTATTTTAACCAAAAACTATTAAAAAAACGAGTGACTTCTCTTGAACATCGGAAGGTTAGGTAAAATCTTTTGTTTTCGTCACGTGTTTTATCCTATTTTACATTAAAATACATCACGTTTCAGCAAAACTACTATTTATTTCCGAGAATATATTCATTCAGGCGCAGTTTAGGTAAAATATACATGTGATGTAACAGTTTTTTAACTGAAAACGAGTCGAAAAACACGTGTACCGTCTAGCTGATTGATACTCAACAGCTGGTGGTGCGTCATGCGTCGTTGTAAACAATATGAGGTTGAAGTAGATTACCGGGTATTATATTACATGTGAAATGTCGAAAATGTTTTTATGACCAGTATTTTTTGTAGATCAATGAGAACTGTGATACCGTTTATGATATGATAAGTTAGCCTGTGCTAAGAACTTCAACATAGACTACTGAATCACGTTGTAAGGTAATTTAGCCTATTGTAAGTTGGTGAGCTTCATTTGCTGAAGGAACTGCACAACTTTTCATTACTAATTGGTACATATTTTACGCTTCCATTGTTTACTGGTAGTAAATGGTAAATATTTTTCATGTCTGAAGCTAAAAGTTGCTCCTCGCCCTTCCCATCATCTGGCGGTTCAACCTAACAAAACTATTACGCATGTATAGGACGACCCCCAATTTTTTGCCTAAAAATTTGGTCTTATAAACTCGAACACGAGTATATACGGTAATTTGACAAAATTTTGGTACAACTGAGGCAGATGGTAGATGCGGGTGGTTGTAAGTCGAGTAGGTTGTAAGTCGGGGAGGAGCTGTACGTACTGTTATTAATTTGTATAAATAAAACTTTTCAGAATACAGTCCTGTATAAAATTAGATTTAAAATTTCAAGAAAAACATTGGTAATCTAGTGAGCTAAAATTTATTTATATACAGTACTGCATTATTGAACTGTAACAAACGTGAATATTTGGAGAGAATGCTGTATTAATAGGTAACAATGTCAATATCAACATGATAAGAACTGCAGAAATTGTTCATTACAGTAAACCCATGATAAACCTCACTTAATTGGGAACATGTAGACTGTACCCTATCTGAGTTGTTCTTTCTTTGTTTCTTCCTTTTCTTAGGGGGGTTAAAAAATAGAAATACTATACAGATTTTATTATTTTCTTTGATTAATTTGGTTTGTTTAGTGAGTTCATATTGGTGCCACATAGTCAAATATGCAATTCATAAATATCAAAAAATATATGAGTATTATGGATTTGGAAAATGGTAATGTTATGAGTCAAATAGATTACATTTCAAGAAAAATGAAAAATCAGTAACCTAAATTTTTTATTTTCCTGGAGACCATGATTCAGACCAAGTCACAGTCTAGTGAAGTAGAAACATCATGAATTAAAATAAAATATAAAATGATACAGTAATACTAAAATTGCCAAGAGAAATACTATAAAATTTTTGGATTAGAAAAATTAGCTACTGTACTGTATTTTGACCATATTATTATCAGGGATGAGGGAATAATGGTTCAGGTATTAAATAGGAGGGCCTGAGGAAGGCTGTGATGTATGAATGAAATTCATGAGAGATGAGAAATCTGTGAAAGTTAGTAAAGACAGCCTGAAAACTTATGGAATGGGGGTCAAGGTTGCCAACCCTCAGGCATAAGGATGTCAACTTAATTAACTGTATATGATTGTGAGTAAATGAGTGCTTGTTAATCCAGTATCTCATTCTGTTAGTTGATTTTCCTCAGGTATAATGTGTGTATAATTTATCCCCAGACCTCCCCTGCAAATATCACCGAGGAAATAAAGAAAGCAGTCCCAAGTGCCTTCTTTGTCAGCAACCCCTGCCGTTTGCTCTTCTGTACCCAAGAGATCGTCATATTCCGGGAAAATATTGTGGCCAAGATGTGTCGCAACTGTGTTTATTTTCCTGCAAATTCTGATGACATTCCTGCCCATATTAAGTCTTTTTGTGTGGTCTTCCACATTTGGTAAATTAATATACTACAGTGCCTGTAGAACCATGTCTGAGAAGTAAATTGATGCAATTAATAATAATCACAAGCTGTATTTTAGTTGCAAATATCATGGTTCTTCATTCTTAAAAACATTGATTGCCAGCTGCTGGTCCAATAAATGAATGGGGTGTAAAATACACTTGCAAAATGGCAGAATGTGTTTTTGTCATGCAGAAAACATTTTGGAAGAGCAAAAAAAGATTATACAGGGTATTTAGGTTTTTGGATATACTGTACCTGTACAGTACAGTATTTGTGACTTTCCAAGCAATGAAAGTATATGATACTCGATATAGAATTGTCATTTTTCACTATACATAAATATCTTAATAACTTGTATTCCAGTTTGCAAAAACATTGGTGAGTCAAGGCCATTTGGCAGCACTACCCTTGCATGTGTTGCCTGTGTACTGGGGATTGGACCACTGCCTGTCACTCCACCCAACACCGGATGTCATCATCACTGCAGACAAAGGGGACTCCTTCACCACAACCCACAACCAGTCCATCATCATGAACCCGGTACAGTTGTGTCTTTATAAAAACATATTACTGTATATGCATTGTATATTCATAGAATTGATTTACTCTGTTAGGAAGTTGGGAGTGTATATAATTAACTACAGTACTGTATATCAGATATTTTGCTGTCCTTGCAGGAGTTCACCTAAAGGGGGGACTCCATACTAAACACTTCAATTAAATTTGAAATAATGAAGTTACGATTATATAACTTGTTTACCTGCTTTCTGCTTGAACTGTAATCTATTTTGTCATATATTCACCTGGCCTCTATTTTCTTGATGTCATTTGCTGCCCTCTTTCCATTCTTTAGAATGTCCCTCCAGTGGGAAAATTAATGGCTGAGGCTATTCATCACTTTCATATTGAAGGAAACAATAATTCTTAAATAGAATGATTGAATTTGTCTTTCATAAGTTTAGTTCATGTCTTCCCTCATTATAAACATATTTAGCCAAAGTATTTAGTTAAGAGTAAACCCATGCTAAACTGGGTTATTGGAAAGGATCCAGATTCTACAAATTCTGACTTTTCTGGGTACTGTATCCTAAGGATATGAAGTACCGTAAATTCTTCCTTTGCCAGTTTATTTGTCAGGTGGTCAGGCTGTAATGGAGCCCAAACTTTGTAGTACACTCAAGGACTAAAGTCGTGAGAGCTGCACGGAACCTACACTAGTGACCTCTGGCAATGAGGAAAATTTTTAACTGCAATGGGGGTACTTAACTGCATGTAATTTTTAAAAGTATACTCTGTATATCTATATATATTATTTTTTTTACTCATTTCATTTATATCTTATCATAGTTTTAAATCATGAATTTTCTCTTTGCCAAAGGTCACTAGTGTAGGTTCTGTGTGGCTGTCCATGACTTTCTTGGTTCACTGGTTGTACAATGTTGGGTATCAACTTGTCTTTGTATGGTTATTTTGAAGTAAGATGAAGCAGGGCATAATACACATAACAGTTCCATTTTGTCTTTGCTGTGTAATACTGTATAAAGTATCTTTCTGTAAGTAAAGTATCTTTAATGTTATTAGAAGGCACTGTTGAAGTCATTAATGAAATTATATCATGATTCATTATTTACCATTTTATTTGTCTAATAGTAAGAGTAAGAAATATTTATCTTTTCATTGACTCATATAGTTTTGTCTTCACATTGATTATAAAAAAACAAAAACATTGCCATAGGCCCCACTTCCCTTTCAGTTTTAAACCCGGTGTACAGTATAAAAAACTAGTACAGTACTGTATCTTCTGAGCTTTGACTGATGAATATTGAAACTTGGCATGACTGCATCTGGCCAGTTGGTAGCTATGCCTGACTAGGTACAAGCTTCAAGGTGTTCAATGAATTGTAGTTCGAAATAGTGGACTTATTATTTTAGTTGTGGAATATGGACACATATAATAATAATAATAATAATAATAATAATAATAATAATAATAATAATAATAATAAACGGTTTATTAATAGAGTTGCAGCCGGTGGCTGAAAATATACAGACTTACATTTGATTTAGACATAATGATATAATATGCATTGAATACATTTACAGGGCTGTACAGTACATAAATCAGGAGTTGTTTATTATTTTAACAATAGATGGGATGGTGCTGTTCGTATATCTATCGGTGCGGGCTCTTATGGGCTGTATTTTGTTGTAGTGGCGGACTGCGCGAGTTGGGTGGGGGGCTGCAGGTGGCAGGAGGTGGCGATGACGAGGGTGGTGCAGTAGTCCCCGGGTTACGAAAAGGTTCCGTTCTTGAGTCAGCTTTATGCATACCGTACTACAAAACAATGTTTAAGTCCTTATATACGTCTAAAATCACTTAATTTAAGACAAAACAAGAAATAGAATGACAAATTACAGTAAATGAATGTAAAAAATACATCATCAGGTAAATAAAATACAGTACAGTATACAGTACTGTAAATTTCAAGTTTAACCCCATTTGTATTGGTGGGAGTTCCAAAGTCGGGGACCTCCTGTACCCAATATTGAAAGATCGTCGAAAAGAAATTATGTGAATCAATAGTGTAACTGGCTACTCCTTCCACTGGTCTGCCAAGCTGGGAAGATAGTTGTTTCTTAGATTGTACTCTGTCATGTATGTTGTTCCTTCTTTTATTTTTTTGTCTTGAGACTTGTATAATTGATACTTCTCCTCCAGGGTTCATTCGCCAAAACGGACTTCTCTTTCAAAGTTTACATGCCAGCAACCAGACAAGTTGAGGACAGCCAGATTGCCGATGATGATACATAGCCCACTGGATTCCAAGTAATATTCCAAATACCTGTGCTTGTTAGCCCAAAATTGTTCAGTTGTTCAAGCTGCATGAGCTGAATATTTTTATTGTAATACATACAGTAATTCCTGATTATTTGCATATTTCACATTTGCACTTTCAAGAATTTGTCAGAGGTAATGAAATATTAAATAATAATACTGTTCTGTACAGTAATTTCAAATATCTTCTAATAGATGACATACTCATTTGTGCTGCCATCTATTGAGGATGAGAACTACAATTTCATCAACTGATCGACTGTCTTCGTTTGATATTTAATAAACATTTAAAAAGTTGTTTCATGAAACATAAAGTATTAAATATATTTAATGCTTCTTTTAGAAATGAAACATTAAAGACATATTTAATGTTCTTACACTAAAGGGTATGAGGGATACACTTCTGCAATAATAATAATAATAATAGCTGGTCTTTTGTTTCTCAAAAGTGCCAATTCTTCTAAAAATTCACTAGCGCTCGAAATACTACAATGTCAAGGACTTGAGATTAAAAATAAATAAAAATGCCAAGTACATACAGTACTACCAAAAAAAAAAAATTACAAAGTGACAGTTAGTATATCCTTAAGTTGTAACATTTCCTAAACCCTGTAATTCTCCCTTTACTGTAGGTGCATTAGAAAATTACCACCAAGAAATAGAATTAAGTAAGCAATTCTTCGATACCACTTTTCTCACTTCAACACTAGATCTATCATTTCAAAACAACTTTTAACAAATTATATGGTTACTATACACATCCGTCCATAATGGCTTGAGTAACTGAGTCAGAACAAGCAATACAGCAACAGTGTCCACATGATCAGCTGGTAAATGTATTCAGCACTTGTTATTGTTGCATTAAAATATTAACTTTTCTAAGTTTAAAGAGAAGTTAGCTAAATTGTGGTGAGGTTGGAATGTATTCGGTGATAAAAAAGAGCAGACTGCCTGCATGTCATGTTTGTTGCATACAGTACAGGTACAGTAGCTAATTATGAGAATGATATTCGGTAATTTCATATTTGTGGCCATTTTGAGAACGTATCCCTGGCAAATACCAGGAATGGTGTAAATATGTGTTTTAATGAAGCCAGCCTGAAAAAGAATAAAGTTTTATATAATTTATTTGGAATTTTATATTGCTACCCATATTTTTTTATATTCTGGATGAAGGCATCAGACATGTGCATCTGGATATTCATTGAGCTGTGGGACAAAAATATCCTTTAAATCTTGCAGGTTAATGGTGCTCCTTCATGTATTTGGGGCTCTGTATTTTAAATGTCATCTTTAGCCCCCTTACTGCTTGTCTATTCTTCCCTTCAAGATCAACACATTTGGAGACCTAAGCCCTTTGTCAGGTAAGCAGTTTCATGTACAGCACTGTATTTATTTGCTTATTTATCTTCACCACCTGTCAACTTAATCATTGGTTGGTCAGTCATATGGTTCTCTATTACAGTACTGTACAAGCTTTTGATATGTATTGGCACCTGAATGTACAACCTTGAATAAAAGTCCTGTTGCTTCTCCTGCTGTTCCATGAACCCCAAGAATCAGATTTGTGGATCAGAAGCAAGAGACACTGATTCAATATACTGTCCATAAATGCTTTGGATTCACGAGTTTGAATCTTGAGGTTCATGGAGCAGCAGTAGAGGTTATTCCAAGAGTTCACAACTCTTAATCCAAACCAGTTACCTCTTGACAGTTTTCTGTACAGTACTGTTTAAAGAAAATCAGTTGTTGTTGTGATGCATAACAAGATTATTAAAACACTCTTACATTAACAATAAAAAATATGAAACAGAACTCTGGTAAATTCAGACATAAATCTGGTTAATGACTACTGTTTTCACCGAGATGATTGTTATGTACAGTACTGTAAAGTGTGATATGTAAGTAACCACAGAATTTGTCTTATGAATAAAGAGAAAACTATACTTGAATTGAAACAGTTTATTTAGCCAGATAAACACATACTGTATACAGAGTGGATAATAATAACAATATTAACATGGCTGAGCCAGTTGAGAACCTGAGCTCTCCTGTAGGCACTGTACAGTACTATAAAGGTAAGAATTAGAAAAAAAATATTGTAAGGGGTATTGTGTGGCAGTGCTGCCGGGCTGGCATTGCTGTCAAAACTTAGGTCTAGAGTTGCTTGTATTGATCATGCTTCTCACCTGGCTGCCATGAGTAAACTGAATGTGGCTAACTGACTGACATTACCTTCCGCCATTACTGATTGGCAATTCCTGACACCATTATTGACATTCACTTCATGTCACCTTTGCTGACTGTCACTGCCTGCCACCATTACTAATTGACACGTCCTGCCACCATGATTGACTGTTACTTCCTATCACCATTATTGATTGAACCTCCCTGTCGCCATTATTAATTGACACTCCCTGCCATCATCACTGAATGACACTTCAAGCCACCATTGTTGACTGACACTTAATTCCAACCATCATTATTGACACCTACAACCTTAACTGATTGACTCTCATCCATAATTATTGTCTGTCACTCCCTGACATTGGTAAGGTGATGCAGCATGATGTAACAGCTATTAGTCACCAGCAAAGAGATCTAGTCTGATTTAACAATTATCAGTAAATACGTAATCTGGCATGTAATAAATCATTAATAAGGAGATCTTGCATGATGTATCTGAACCTGCTCCAGTGTTGGTCAAGACCAGGCTTGACCGACACTGAGCAAACTATCTGTATTCAGAAGCAAGTTTATGCCCAGTACTTGCCAACAGTGTATAACAGAGATGTGACCGACCGCCCAAGCGGCCTACAAGCCGATTAATGGCAAAGAGGATAAAAGTAGTGTCAGTAAAGTGAGACAGCATGGTATAACGGTCATCAGTAAAGTGAGACTGTGATGTAACAGTTATTAGTAAAGTGAGACCTTGATACAACAGTCATCAGTAGTTTGAGACAGCATAATGTAAGTTATCAGTAGTGTGAGACAGCATGATAAAATAATCATCTCAAATTCACTATTATCAATATACAGTATATATTTCCAGCTGAGTTACATGATGAATTTCCTCATATTTTCCTCGATGATCCTATTTGGGTGAAGCATAGGCGATTTCCAGTTTATTGTAAGATGTAGCACTAAAAATAACCACAGGTATTTAGCGTATCTTATCACCATATTAAGGTCTGCCAACCTAGTGAAGTGAAAGGTTATATATATATATATATATATATATATATATATATATATATATATATATATATATCACGTGCTACAGTGATTTACTTGCATATATATATATATATATATATATATATATATATATATATATATATATATATATAGACAGATCCAGGAAAAAAAATCACAAAAAGGCACGGAAAAAACCTAACCTAACACTAAGCTAACTAACCCCACGTGCAATGCCATCATATATATATTGTTACGTCAATGTGTACAAGTCATGTGACTTTTTTCCTGTGGACATTATTTCCATCCACCAAGACAACAGTCAATCTCTCCTTGGTAAAGATGTGACTCGCGTTCTAGGAACACAGGAAATTACATCATATGATATGTTCGTTTTTAGGTTGTGTTTCGAAAGTTTTAATGTTTAATGTTCAAATCGTTAATTACTTTTCGTTTGCAGAAGTTAACCCCGCAGACACAGGTCACCAATCCACAGTGGGGCTTGAGGACGAAAAAATTAATACAAAAAAAAGTACAGAAATGGAAATAATTAAACAAATAAAGAGTGAGAAACGATATAATTATATATGTCGAGAGGTCAAAGAAACAATTGAGACCTTGCAATTGTGTATTAATAAACAGAAAGTCAGATCAGTAATCTGGGACTTGGCCTCAATATTTGTGATGCCAGAGCCCATACAGCAGCAGTGTCTATCATTAGATCACTGCTGGACACTTGATGCTTCAATGGTGGACAAATCACGTCCACAGAAAAAAAGACTCATAAACACATTGACCTGATATATATATTATATATATATATATATATATATATATATATATATATATATATATATATATATATATATATAGCATTGCACAGTAGGTTAGGTTAGGTTAGATTAGGTTTTTCGTGCCTTTTATGACTTTTTGGATTCCTTCAATATCTACTCAGGCAGTAGTACCCCATGTTTTTACAAAGATAATATTAAATTGGCGGTCGAGTGTCTATTCTCATCTATAATTTACACCTCATTTTGATACATTACTAAAGAACTGTCAAAAATTAAACAAAGAAATTATTGTTTTGTGATCTAGGAAAATACTGCTTCAGCCCAGTGGATATCCTGCCTCGAGGTTCAGTGTCGGGGAATATAAAGTTCAACTATTATTACTTCAAAAAAGAAACAGGGTTACCACACACAACCTTCCATCCTGTCGGTAAAGAGCTTTGTCCTGTAGCATCTCATTAAATTTCTGTTTGATAACGCTTTCAGAACACCTAGAGCTACGTACTTCAGATTAGGCGAGACCTAGATTGACGTTGAAACAGGTAATATACGAGATGTTCTTGTGTCAGGACATTTATATCAACCGTAGTGAAGATGAAACCAATGTTGTTTAAAAACAGTACAGGGCGGAAGTCACCCGCGATCTATGAATCATAGTCTTAAATGAGTTAAACTTTATTTTCTCTGGCGCAGTTTCGAAATTAGTAGCCTTACATATCAAACAGTGACGACTTTCAAAAAAAGGTTCAAGTATTTGTGTTAGTGGCCAGACCTGCTTTGATCAGTGGTGCAGTGACAAGTACTTTGGTTTAACGATCATGGCTAATAAGTTCAGTATATTTATTGTTTCATTAACCATGCTTTTTCACGGCATTTATTTCATCGATTTTCCACCGACTTTCGTGTTTCAGCATTTATCTTGGGGGAAATAAATTATTATTATTATTTTTATTCACCCTTTCCTGTAACAATGTAGGGCGGTCCCAACTGGTACCCAAATGTATGAAGTCAAATGATGGTCATTGTGTCGTCGGACTGTGAATCGCCTGATTATTTTTTGGTGTCATACAATTCACAAAATTGACCATTTAATCTGAGTTGTGTTGTGTGGTTGGGTTGGGTTGGATGAAATTGCGCACTTGATCTATTAACTCCAGTTGTGATGCGTTTATAATTACTATTGACTCTGTTTCAAATACTAGCTCCAATTGATTAGGTTTGGTCACTCAAATCATTAACTCCAATTAATTACGTTTTCCAATTTTTTTTGCTTTATTTTAAAATACTGGTGAAGTATTGATTAACGGTCCGATTATTCATGCAAGTTGTATTTGACAGGCTGCATTTGAGTGGTCATTAGGACTGTTATTTAAATACTGGTTTTTTGGGGGCAGTGGCTGTTTTTCTCTGAAATAATATCAGAATCATCTAAACATAAAAAACGCAGGGGAAAAAGGCCAAAAGTTAAGCAAACCGAACATATGTACTAACCTAACTGACCTAACTACTTGACCTAACAACATAAAAATGATTTGCCACAAAATATATGAAACAACAAAAAAGCAACTAATATTTTTCCTCGAAAAAGGGCTGATGGGTAAATTCTTGGTACATATATTGCCTTGTTGCCTAATAGCTGCTAAAGGTGGCCATGCAGGAAAAAGGACATTAGGTTAAAATTATACTAATTCAATCTCTAGGATACTTAATTCACAATCTTACCTATAACACACTTATGTTCATATATAAAATTTGGGTGTTGAGGTTGCATTCTATCTAGGGTTAAGGTTAGGTTAAATTAGGTAAAAACACATTTTCTGGTTTTTTTTTATGTGCTTTCTAAATTTGACCTCTCTCCTCTAAACTAAAAGTTTGGGGAATATTTTAAAACCCTGCAAATTTCTTCAAAACTAGTTTCCCAAGAAGCGGTAATTTTAAATTACATAAAATCAAAAATGTTACAATTAAAAATAACGTAAATGCAGAAGTATACACTGTATAAAATCCTGAAGTGGGCAAGCCGCTGGTTGGTGGGGTTCCCAAGGGTCAGTACTAAGCCACACATGCTTCAATCTGCAAACGATTTGATGCTAGGATCGTGACACAAGAGTTTGGATGACACCAAATAGAGCCTTAAATTATTCAGGGCAGGACTGCACGTCAGGGGATCCTAAATAAAGCAAGAATGGTCACGAAAAATGGCAAATGAAATTCAACAGCAAGTGCAGCGTATATCATTGGAAGAACAAATACTTATAATGTATACAGCCTTAACAACATCAACCTAAAAGTGACTTGTGAAAAGACCTGGGGTACTTGCAAGCCGGATAACGGCCTGAAAACAGTCCGTTAATGAGTGAAATAAGGCCAAACAGAGTATTGGGTTTTATATCTAGAAGTGCAATGCGGTGCAAGTCTTATCGCAACTATAATAAGCTAATTGACCTCCCCACCTCGATTATCACGGTTCAGTTCTGGTGCTATTATAGAATGGAATATAAATTCACTAGAAGTCGATTGCGAATAATAAAATGGGACATGGATTAAAAAACTAACTTCCCCAGAAAGTCTTGATGATAAGTATTTAAGTGGGTGAAAGGAATCAATAAAGGGGATATAGATAAAGTTCTTATAATATCCGAGCAGGATGGGACTCGGAGCAACGATTCAAGTTGGATAAGTTTAGGTTTTTAGGAGGGAGATAGGAAGAAACTGGTTCACAAATAGGGTGGTGGACGAGTGGAACAAGCTTAGCAACTTTGTAATAAGTGCGGGAACTCTGGAAAGTTTCAAAAGGAGGCTAGATAGATTCATGGATGATAGAGAGTGGTAGTAACTCTCGACAGGAGCTGCCATACACAGGCCAACCGACCTATTGCAGACTCCTTATTTTCTTATGTTCTTATGTTCTTATGATATCTTGGGGAGCTTGAAGTTACATTCCTTCATGTTGGGTAAATTTTCACTTGTTGCCACTATACGAAATCAAAGTTAAATCTTTTTTCAATGGTTTTTGATGTTATGAACGAATGTAACCTTCATTTCTGGCACAAGTCATTAGCTTCTGAGATAAGCCCTCCTCCTTCCCATCTCAGAATTTTGAGATTTTCTATTAAAATCAAGGTAAAAAGTGCTCAAATTCATCAGAACAACAGTTTTGAATCTAACTGGGGAGCTCCACAGTCGTTCAATGTTCTGGGTGTGTACCGGCACGTACGAACATACATAAAGCATTCGACCTAGTCGACCACAATATAATCAACAAAGCTATTGACCTCGGGCTTCGGAGAAGTCTTATACCATGGCTTACAGACTTCCTCAGTGACCGACGCCAAGCTGTACGCTTCCGAGGGGCTGTCTCCACCTTTCAGTCACTCACCTGTGGCGTCCCCCAAGGCACCAAGATGGGACCACTCTGCTTCCTTATTCTCATCAATGATGCCCTAAAAGAAACCCCTGCTCGCTGGAAATATGTCGACGACTCCACCATTGGGATCAGCGTCAACAATTCTGCTCCCGACTATACCGCCCTTCAGGATTTATTGAACAGACTCCAAAACTGGGCCACCAACAACCATGTCACCATCAACCATACCAAGACCATGGTTATGCACATCAACCTCTCCTCCGACATTGTCCCACCTCCTTCCATTACTTTAGGTCCGAACACTCTCCAGGTTGTAGATTCCACGAAGCTCCTCGGCGTCACCATAGACAACAAACTAAATTGGAAACCACACGTCAGGGAAGTTGTCAAATCCTCCAGTTTCCGTCTCCACCTCCTCCGCCGACTCAAGTCCCTCAGAGTTCCTGCACCCGAGCTCCTCAGTGTTTACACAACATTCATACTTCCCAAGCTCACCTATGCCTCCCCTACCTGGTCTTCCTCCCTAAATGCCACACAACGTAAACACCTAGAAAAAGTGCAAAAGAGAGCATGCAAGATTATTCTCCCCCCCTTCCTACTCCACATATCAAGAAGCGCTCAACACACTGACCCTTTCGACTTTCACTGACCATCACCACGACCTCATCTGCGAATTTGGTAAGAAGCTTCTACATCATCCTCGACACCGGCTCCTACTACCACCTGAGATCCCTAGCCCGAGAATTGCTGTTCGACACCACAACCGCATCCAGCCCATACGTGCACGAACTGATCGCTATAAGAACAGCCCAGTCCCAACCATTGTAAAAATTATCAATAACTTGTAATAAACCAGTGTATTCACTCCCAGTAAATACTACTTGCACTGTCACTATGTTGAAATGCCCTGTAGTTTGAGCTTTTTCCCATCTAGTTATTATATATCTTATTTATATCACTTATGTTATTTGTATATTATTTGTAATTCGAAACCCATTCCCCATATATGTAACTGTATATTTTCAGCCTTCTGGCTGCCAAGCTCTTTCAATAAACCGTTAATTATTATTATTATTATTATTATTAATAAGATGTTAAATATCTCGCATAAACGTAATTTGTGCCAGAAATGCCATTGAAGAAAACTGTGTTAGAATTGTCAAAATTACTGAATACAATTATGAAATAATACTTATTGTTGGTGGTGCTTGATATGAACATTTATATATTGAGGAGATACTGGTACCACAACCAGTTAGAACACTGCTAAAAAATGCCTGCATAAAATTTTGGAGATGAAAGATAGGTTTGAGGGAATTAGTGTATGCTGTAGTTGCAATCAGCAATTTGGCAATTCTAAGACACTTTTCTTCAATGGCATTTCTGGCGCAAATTATGTATCAGCGAGATATAGTTTAGGTTTGGTTGGTTGGGTTAGGTTAGACTCAAAACTATGTTTTTCAAATGGTTTTTGATGTGTTTTGAACACTTTTTACCTTGATTTTTATAACATATCTCAAGATTCTGAGATGGGAGGGTGTGGGGGCCTATCTCAGAAACTATTGATTTGCGCCAGAAAGGAAGATCAAATTCGTTCATAATACATAAAAAACATTCGGAAAAACATAGTTTCAACTTGTATCATACGTCCCAACGGGATGAAGAAACTGCACTATTTGAGACTGAATGTGAGAAGGACCTCGGTGTGTATGTTGACAATGAGCTGAAGTTCTTGGGCCATTGCGAGAAGAAGGTTAATCAGGCAAATAAATTATTGGGTCTTATAAGAAGGTTGTTCAGATATCTAGACGGTCCGTCCCTCGTAACGATCTTCAAGAGTGAAGTGCTTCCCCATCTGGAGTACTGTCACCCCGTCTGGTCCCCGAGATATGCTAGGGACTGTCAGTTGGTTGAAAATGTTCAAAGGAGGGCCACCAGACTGGTGCCTGCCCTTTGGCACCTCAGCTACCCTGAGAGATTGGAGCGCCTGAACTTGCCTAGCTTATACTACAGATGGGCAAGGGGTGACCTAATTGTGGTGTATAAGCATCTCAAGGGGCACTAATCAGTCGAATGTCCTTACTTGGAGCTGGTGGACGCTCGCCCCACAAGGGGTCACAGCTCTAGATTGAAGAAGCCGCATGTCCAGAAAACTGTGGGGGCAAACTTTTTCGGAGTGAGAGTTGTGAACTCTTGGAATAATCTGCCAGAAAGTGTTGTGATGGCACCGAGTGTGAGCTCTTTCAAGACCAGACTTGACCAACACTGGAGCAGGTTCAGGTACATTCAGGAGCCGGTGCATGCCCAGTACTTGCCAACAGGGCGTAATAGAGACGTGACCGATTGGCCAAGCGGCTAACGAGCCGTTCTTTTGGTGAAGAGGATAAAAGAAAAGGAAAAGTAATCAGAGACGTGACCGATCACTCAAGCGGCTAACGAGCCGATCAGTGGTGAAGAGGATAAAGGTAAAAGTAAATAAGTTTGAGGAGTAAGTTACATGGTGACTGTAGAAGAATTATGACATATTGATAGCTTATTTTTAGACTTAATAACATACAAGTGTCAGAGAAAATTGAAGTTAGTGAAATAAGTAAGCAGATTGGTAGTTAAAGAAAAATTTTTTTTATTATTACTGAGGAAAAAATTACCAAAGTGGTGAATTTTTTGGTAACTTTGGATTTTTTATTGAACCATCATAAATTGGGAACTGCCTGTATACATATTTCTTAATTTCCAGTTTTCCATGCCCAGAGAGCTTCGTCGGCGAAACACAATGGAAACAAGGGAGTTGGCACCAATGGCAAACATCAGAGAGACTGATGCAGAAGATTTTGGGTGAGATTTACACCTGTACAAATGAGTCAGACAAATTGTTTTATTATTATTATTATTTTTTTTTGCGTCTGCCTTTTTTATAATTTAGATGGGTTTAGTGATTTAGTTTTCTTTGAAATTAAATTCTAGGTAGAGATAGATTTTTTTTACAAACTGCTACATGATGTTCTTCTAAATTGCAAAATAAATACTATACACTGTGTTGTTTAATTTTAGAAATGGGAGTAACAACCCCTCCAACAAACCAGATTATAGTCCTGGAGATGAAGGAATTGATGATGGATTTGACATTCCAAGTCAACCTCCAACTAATGGTATACCACGAAGGTCTCCATTCCCTCGCTCACCATCCCCAGCTCCACGGCCAGGGACAGGAGGCTATATTCCGGTATCCACAGACCCAACCAGCAGCAGGCCTGTATGTGTTTCACCAATTACTAGTGGCCTCTTACATTACTGTTTTTTGTTATAGCTGTGGGGAATTGTTGCAGCATAGCTTTGCCTACTTTTTGTTTTTTTAATACCTTTGTTTGCAATAATACATCTGTAATAAAACACCAGCTTGACCTTACTTGAGGCTTTAATGAGCAGAAAATCGCACAGTTCCTGTGAAAGACCATACACGTTAAGAGAGTTACATTATGTGAATAACAAGCAAATAAGTACAAAGTAATTGTCATTTCTATACACAAGCTTTCTTTATATATTCCTTTATAAGTGCAAGTTATCACAACTCATAATCTGTGGTAACACGGAAAATCAGGACAAATTCATTACCAAACCTTCTCTGAAGGGCCAGCCATGAGTCAGAATAACCGCCAGGCCAAGGACCACGAGTATAAAAAAGACAAGGGATCCTTTAATATAAACCTATAAATTTTCCATAGAATACATAGTTATTTGTAGCTAAATAATAACTAAATATTACCACAACATTAGAAGAGGTTTAATATATTTTTAATTTGTTGAAATTTTATGAACAATACAGGTTGCCCACATTTAAACCAGTTTTATTAGAAATGGCTTTGCATTTACTGTACAATACAGCACTTACTTTTTGTCATTCAAATTTCTTCTTGCCAGGTTAAGGTTTAGAAGTACAGGTATGCAACTGCACACCACTGCTGACTTCCTCCCTACCTTAATTTTTCCAATATAACACACTTACAGTACACTATTCATTGGGCTAAAGATCATACCATTTGTGCCGTACACACAGCCAAGCTCAGAGAGTTTGGAGAAAACTTGAAGAGTTGGAGGACCCAATCTTCTCCCAGTTAAAAGAAGAAACCACAAGAACACACAGCTGGTGGTCCAAGAGCCTCCATGCTAACATAGAAGAACAAGACTCACTTTATACATATATGTGAACAAATAACATCATCATTTAACTAACATAAATTAACACACATTACACTAATGAATGCCTAGCTAGCTTGGCTTCCCCCTCCTGCCTCCCCTGAGTGAGCGGGTGTGTGCTGTGTATGGCCACCACCCCAACCATTCACCTCGACTGAGCTAGGTGGACAGCCCACCTGCTATTACTCCCTATTACTTTACTTCCCATTTCTATTCTTTCCTTCTCTTCTTCCTCTCCTCTCTCATGGCAAAGTCATTTGTCACTTTATTTCATTATCATCTTCATACCATTTGTGTGATTAATACAGCATCATTGAATTAGATAAAGTTAATGCGGTAAATATTGGGGTTTCCTGTACATGATGCTGAAGCCTTGTTTTGCATATAGCAGTACTGTACAGGTATTGTACTTTTTAACTTGTTAATGTCTTCTCCAGTAAACTTGGATTGAACAAAATTAATAAACCTGTAGTCTATACATGTACAGTAAGTCCTCGTATAACATCGCCCTCATTAACGTTGTTTCGGTACAACGTCGCGACTCTTTAGATACCAATAATTCGGATAACGTCCCAACGACTCAATTTAACGTCATTTTTGCATCGTCACAGACTACTTTTTACGGCGCATCATCCCCTCTCGTCTTGCTGCACTAACGCTCTCTCAGGAGGAGGAGGCAACCGCTGAGTCTCAGTGACTCACCACCCTCCTCCGCTTCCATCCTCCTCCGCTTCCATCCTCCTCCTCCTCCTACCCTCCTGCCATCCGCTTATCCGCTTCACTACCCACCACACACTCACTCCACCCATCGGTGAGTACCAATACAAAATGATTTAGTTTTATAATGTATACTATTTTCTATAAAAATGCCATTGAGTTTCTGTATATGTAATGTATTTCATGGGACAAAGGGAGGCTTAGGAACGTAACTCGTATTTTATCTATTTCTTATGGGGAAAAATGATTTGCTTAATGTTGTTTCATATAACGTAGCGTTTTCAGGAACGTAACCATGACGTTAAGCGAGGACTTACTGTACTGTATTAATATCCCTGTTCAGTGCAAATGTACTATAAAATATAATGAATAATGATACAGGTATCCCTTGTTCAGCATTAATTCACTTAACATTAATTCGGTTTAGCGCTAGAAATTTTTTACACCCTTTCTCACTTAACATCAGGTAAAAATTTGTTTTAATGATAGCTTAACTCACTGGAAAAGGGAAAACCTGGGAATGAGATGGCCTGTGAGATGGCATGTTACCAATGTTACATATAATGAAATTATAAAAGTCATGATAAAAATCATTACAATAATTTAATGTGGCTTAGAAATAAAGAAAAGAGTACAGTGTACACTAATACATCCTTGTAACATTATACCGATATAAATTTACATTCTAAAACAATCTTACCTTTTGTTAAGGTGGTAGATGTTTGAGAGACTTGCAGTTAGGGGCTAAGGTTATGTCTTGAGGTCCCTCACTATATGATATATGACAAAGTAGTCTTCACACATTTGAACAAGTGAAATATCATAAAATTAACGTAAAACACTTCACAACACTTTGCATTACAGTACAGTAGACCCTCTCCAACCTTGGATTCCGGGTACAGGTATCCTCAGTTTTTACTCGATACCATTTCACCAACCACAGCATTGAATTTCGAGTACAGGTCTCTGCAGATTAGTGTGGTGTCTTTATCCCTTCACAGTCAAATGTATTCCTCCGTAAAGGTGAGAAATTAATAAAAATAATATAATAAATAAAAGAAAAGAAAAAATATTGCTTTGCCATTTGGCAATCATTTCACTAAGGACATGAGAGACAGGAACACACTCACTCCTTCTGCTCGCCCTTCCCCCTCCCACGATCATTGGCTAACTCCCACAGATGTAAGAAATTTTTAATTTCTTTGTTTTTGACCTTATGATACCGGTAATCACTTTTTTATTTTTTTTTATTTATTTTTTTTTTTTTACACTTTCTGCATGAACATTTGTGTGCATGTAACAGAGTAATAAAAAAATACTGTATGTATATCTACCCAAAAATACCAGTTGAAAAATACCAATAACACAGCTTTGCCTGGTATGGGGAGAGCTAAGGCATGTAGCTATAGGGACAGTCTAACTTGGCGACATGCAAAGTCCACACACACATACACCCATGCTCTTCATTTTTCTTATTTTATAGCAACATGCCATCGCCACGAAGATGTACTGTAAAATTTATAATACAGTACTATATAATTTATATTAAGCTATTTTATATGTATTTGATCAAATTCAATTAAATGTACAATACAGGTACAGTATTGTTTAGTGAAGGAACAGGTAAATTCTATCTTTGAAGGGTGTTATCCTCCATAAGCCAACCATGGGGTTTTTTCAGGAATCTAACCCCCGAGGTTGGCGAGGGACTACTGCACTTTTACAGATAGATGAGATGTTTATGATATCCACTGAGGGGAGTTTATTTTGCAGTTTACACATGTAACAGTTACAATGGATGGCAGTAGTGTGTGAGATGGTTATAGTTACATATAATTTTTAAAGGGCTAGCTTAGTGTATCTTGCAGCTAGCCTGTTCCTTACACCACAGGAAATTCCTATTCATTCCTTTCACCCTGTGCTACTTGTTCTTGAGAACCTGTCTATGCAGAAAATATATCTTACAATCTCACTTAGAAATTAGTTTTGTTCACAGCTTCTGGTTATGCAACTGGAGTGCAAATTGTGCCTATACACCAGGGGATTGAGATCCATAAAGAGTCGATTTAATATTTTATACATTGCTGCCATCACAGAATATATTGTGCTCAGTATTTCATAGAAGCATCTTGAACGTAAAACAGTTGGAGTTAAGTAGACAAAAGTTAGAGTCTTGACTATCATTGCTTGGTTGGCACAAGGTGAAAGTTATCAGTATGGTGTAATAAACTTATATGAAGCAAAGGTATTAATGAAAAATAACAGAAGTGCCACAAATTGGAAAATACTAACAGTTAAACTGCATGTTATTTTTAATGATAAGGATTTAATGTAGAATTAACAGTGTACTGCATAACAATGTTTTATGGCCATTTTCCATGCTCTTGTGAGTTAGCTGCTACAGTATTACCAGATGTTAGCTGTTAGGTAGGACCAGAACAGGATGTCTTCACCCTCCCCCCTGCTTCTTACCACTGCAAACCCAGGGTGCCAGTCCAGAAAATTCAGCAAGGGACCAGAGGGTGGAACTGGTGACCCAATTGCCATCAAGCATAGTGAAGCAATGTTTTATGGGTAGAGGCCTTTCCTTACACCAACCCACATGGTTGGAATATTTGTCAAGGCAAAGTCACAACTCCCTGAGGTAATCTAAAACGACCTGTACCTGCCTACTTGAAGTTGTTGATGCATTTGGTGACCAGAGTAATGTGTTCACAGGTAGGTTTAAGAGAGTTTTGTTATACATACTGTATTGTACTATTACTGATATGTGACCATATTGATTTACCTTGATGGAAAGAGCCAAATACAGTACAGTACAGTACTAAATATTGGTCTGTGAATAACCATGGCCATGAAAAAAGTAGTGTCTCCATATTTTATGTCAAGGTCTTTAAGAATATGATGTACCTTTACTGAAGGCTGGGTCACACACATATACTGTAGAGTCTTGCTCAATATCTAAGCCACCAACATCACACCAACCATAGTAAAATACCTCTTCTAATGTTCATAAGATATACTGCACTAGAAAAGAAAACTCATGAAGTTGCTGTTTTATCTTGAGAAAATTAAAGGTCAGAGTTCCCTGAGCAAGTATAGTCAAAGGAAACCCAAGAGGAAATTTAAATGTCATTCCTTGCACAACAGTAATAGGTCCAGTTAAAGTGTTGGGAACTGGCTCATGTATAATAAACCACATTGACCTTTCTTTTGAAGTCCTGGAACAGCAGGAGATTACCAGTAGATTTTTGTGTACAGTTCTGTGCATTTAAAAAAGAATAGCATAAAGATAGAGTTAAGAGCCTGCACAAATTTTATTTAAGAAATAAGCTTCAGGAATTGAGTTCAATAAACACTCAGTTTGCACAAGTTTTGTGTTAACAGTCTGCTGTCCTAGACTTGATTTTTTTTTATTTATAATTTTTTATTTTTCAACAACTGCAAAGGGTTTCTGTGTTTTCTGTATAAATGTTTTCCATAATACATAAACCTCCTCACTATGGGAATGGCACTTTAATATTTGATGTGGCAAATACCAGAGCATTTTATTCAGGTGGGAAGGGAGTCTGTACACAAGGGGTTAAAATAATTTTGCTTAAAGTTAGTGTACACAAGGTTTTCAAGAACACAGCCCCCCATGTAAAGTGAGGGCCCACTTTATACTAATGCTTAGAGTGGTGGGTGGACATGGACTTACATGAGTGAAAAGAAAAATGAGTACAGTATACATGTTGCAGTGTGTTCTTCTGTGGGCTTATGCCTTTCATTTGGAGTCTAATGACTTTTTGTCTTATAAAATTTATATTTGTAAGTGTTTATTATTTTCCATTGTTGTGAGCCTTACATAGTAATCCTTATACTGTACTGCATTGATTTATTTCAGTTATGACATTTGGGGTAATATACAATACGTTGCAGTATTTGTTGACAGTTGCTTTCCCCAGTATTACTTTTGTAATCATGAATATACAGTATATAATTTTCATCTCATTGGAGTAGCCTGTCTTACATAAGCAGGTATTATTGTCTGCAAATGCCTGGTAAGTCAGTACAGGTAATTTAATTTAATTTTTTTCCATGGTCTTTTTCTGGCTTATGCAGAGTGGCCAGAAGCAAGAGCCAATATACTGTATATATATATATATATATATATATATATATATATATATATATATATATATATATATATATATATATATATATATATATATATATATATATATATATATATATATATATATATATACCTGTATATATATTTTTCCTTAATTTGTTGTCATTCTTTCATTCTTATAGCAGTAAGGTGTCTTCTACTCTGGTACTCTCATCCACAACAAGGCTCAAAACTTCATGCCCTTGTTGCTCTATACACTCCATCATCTTCTCCCTCCCCCAAATTTCTGTACCATGCTCTCCTCAGATTCATGCACACTGCTGCTGCTCCTCCATGGATATCCATCCCTTCCAGTTTTAGTATCCTTCACTCCATCTTTCCTTCTCCTTCTTGGTTTCCCCCTGTCCCTCCTACATCTAACTTTGAATGATACACTCTGTTTACCAGTCTTTCACTTCCATTCCTCTCAGTACTGTACTGTATGTCCTTAACATTTGAGCCAACCCTGATCTGCTGTCCCTGATGTTTCTGTGATGTCCATGTATCCTTACTTCTGTAGTTTTATTCTCTACATCCTGTTTAACCAATACAGTCCAGTACTGGATATTACATTCAAACACATCATTTTTGTTCTTTCTTAATTGCTCCTTGCATCAACTCAACAATTACTTGATATATTCCCATCTCTGTCGCTTGTGATGCGGTTCCTCCATACATTTCTCACTCCACCTGTTAAATCTTTACTTCCTCACTCAGTGGTTCAGTTCCCTGTTCATCAGTTTTTTCGCAGATTCATCCACTCTTTGATATATGAAACACTCCTCTTAATCCATTTTATTTCCATTCAGTATGACATTGATTTTCCCTGTCTTTATTTTGTACTTAATTTTATCACTGTATTTCTGTACTTATTCTCCGTTGAATTTCTTTGAGTTAGCACACTTTTACATCGTGGAATACGTTGGTGTGAAAGTGCAGGTTAATACTGTACTGTACAGTACTTCATTGACGTAAAAGTGGCGTACTGTACAGGATGATAATCACAATTTTAATGTTATGTTTACCCATGCATGGAGGTTTTATTCTGTGAAGTACATTGTAAACCTCATATTTAGTAACTATATTTTCTTGTTTTGATAGGGTAAAAAACCACTAGATGTGAACCTTTATGCAACCAAGAAGACAGTGGCACAGGGCATGATGGATCTAGCTCTCCTTACAGCCAATGCTAATCAGTTACGTTATGTACTAGAAGCTGGAAAATTTGGCTCTCTTGGTGCTAACTACTACGTCAGTTTAACCCTCATCTCACTTAGCATTATCATGCAGGTATGTAAAAAGTTTTAGTCTTTACACATTTTTTACATGTACTGTACTGTAATTTTTTATTCTGAGGTACAGGTATCCCTCGTTTAATGATCATTCACTTAGTGATATTTACTTTAGTGATTTAAATTTTTAGCACACTATCTTGTCTAATGACGGTCAATTTTCAATTTAGTGATGTTCAACTCTGGGAAAATTTGGGCAGGGCAGACGTAAAAACTGGGATTCAGTGCTCCAAATGCGCATCATTATTGTGCAATACTCTAATGTGGCTTAGGAATAAAGAACATATATATAAAACTATAAAATGAGAACAATGAAGAGCATGGATGTGTATGTCTGGTAACTGTGTTACATGTATATTGAATCAGTAAATGTGAGAAATAAATATATTTTTTTTATAATAAATCAAATAAAAGAAAATATACTACTTGCCATTTGGCAACCGTTTCACTCCACATGGGACACGAGACAGCAAACAACTGATACAACCCCCCACATCCTTTCCCCCTTCCCCATTGTGTGTGCTAACTCCCACACACAAAAGAAAGTTTATTCTCTTTATGTTTTTGACATTATGATTATTTTATTTTTGCACATTCTGTATAAACAATTGTGTGTGCATGTAAAAGTAAAAATAAAAAAGACAATTACATATATCTACCTGAAATTATGTGTTGAAAAATAACCATAACATAGGTCACAACTGGCACAAAGAAATGTTTATTTTCTTTATGTTTTTGACCCTACAATAATTTTTTATTTATTTACACATTCTCTATGAACGATATTGTGTGCATGTAACATCCCCATCATTAAATGAGGCATACCTGCACCAGTATGTACTGTAGATATGAAGTTTGGCTTGGAATTGTAATTGTGTACATCTTATGACAGAAACAGGGCCGGCCAAAGGAACCAGCAAGCAGGGCAGTTGCTAGGGATGCCAAAATATTGAGGGAAAAATGAAAATGTTAAAATGTGAAAAAATTTCTGACATGTAATCTTACTGTTGTGATTAGACACAAAGGATAGCATCATGGCTGTTACCTGGAATAGCCTGGTTAGGTCAGCATACACAGGTACAAGGGAGCAGGTCTTGATGATAATTTGGGATGGACGGCTCAGGACACAGGTACAGTAATAACCTGTTTAGCGCTCAGGATATGATCCTGGATTATAGAGCCCTATCCAAACAGCATTCTAAGGGGTCATTATACCATTACATATATGGACAGGGGTTCCTGATGATGTTCTTTTTTACCAATGAGATATAGTGTATACAGTATTGTATATGAATGGTACAAGTATTAATAAACTCAGATTAGTACAGTGAAATATATTTACGAATTAATGAATAACAAATAAACAATATTGTATCATGAATGACATTCATTTGATGAACGAGTATGAGATGCCCTGGGTGGGTGGTAGGGAGGCAGTGGATATCGTACGGCTTGCTCTGGTTGATGCTAATCTATCTTTGCATCACTGAAATTATGATGTAGGTGGTGATAATAGAGGTAGTGGCGATGATGGGGTGTTGGTAGTGGTGAGGGAGATTGTGGTGAGTAGTGAGGAAATGATGTGCATCATTTTTTTTTGTAACACTGCGCCTGCAGTACTGCCAGATGCTATTGAACAGCTGAATAGAGAGGTGGGGCGGTAACATGCACCAGGTGTTGCCAAGCGCTCCTCAGCAGCTAATATCCAACCACCACCTTCACACATTGTGCATTACTTAGCTACACACAATTTAATGTCACACAATAAGACCTACACTTAATATAGCAACTTCGTGGCTGTCATGGCTGAAGCTTTTATCTTGTTTGTATTCTTAATAATAGGTCTAACAGTTGATGTATAACAGTTGATGCAGCCAAGTTGAAAGCAGCACCGACATCCACCTACTGCTCACCAGCTTCCAACCGTCCCAACACGTGTAATTTTACAACCAAGGAGATACTGTTCTGTGGCACTTAGGATGCACTAGCAGCACTAAAACTTGCAGGCCATTTTCCAGACATGATGAGTAAAAAATAGTCACTAATTTAAAAAAAAATGGAAAGTCAACAAGAATGGGTCCACAGTGTAAGCAACAAATTTGTACTGTACTGTAAACAGCGCTGATTGGCCAAGTGCATAAAAACAAAGAGAGCTACTCTTTGCGTGATGTGAGTGTACTGACTCGTGCCTTTTGACTACATTTATGTTTTTGGTATTTTTTCTTAGAGCTCTTAAGATGCAAGCAAGAGAGCTATAATGGAACCGGGATAATACTATATACTGTAGTGATTTGTGAATACTCCTTTGCAGTGCTTAATGATGAGTTTGGTGACCTTTGAATTACAGTATTTAAGATATAAGAAATCCGTGAAATGTCAAGCCAAACATTGACATTGCCAACTTAAGCATGTGACTGTATACTGTATTAAAATTTTAGTGAGAATAAACATATACAGTATACTGATAATCAATAAAATGTTACTATTTTGATTGGCCAGTAATTAGCAAATATTTACTTTATAATAGTATTTAGAATATTACTACAGTGGTCCCTTGGTTAACGAACGCCTCGGTTAATGAAATTTCGGTTAACGAATTACCTTCCAAAAGAATCTTCAATTCAGTTTACGAAAAAAAATTTTATTAACGAAATCCTTACGAAAATCACATTTTGTTTTGAACATCAGCTGATAAGCTGAGGAGGTACTCAGCCAATTCAGTGATCTCTTCTATGTTTACATTCAAACCTATGACTATCTTATAAGAATTCCAGCAATGCAAATTAAATATATTCACTTCTATTAAATTTTATAAGCAAAAAACAAAAACTCAATCTAAAGGACATAAATTAACAATTAAATATTTCACACCACAGGCGCCAACTGTCAAACATGTCACTGTCACCCCTCCCTCCATACCCCACCCACCCCCCACCTTCCTGAGAAACGTTTGGGAAAAAAGACTAGGTTTACAGGTTTAAAAATAAATAATACCTCGGACTAAAGTTAGGATAATATAATTTGCATTGCTGAAATCCTTGTAAGACAGGGAATAATTTGAATATAAACGTCATATATTTTGCACAAAAGATAATATTTTTGACCTCCCTAATAAAATTCTTAAATTAGATCTAAAATTTGTTGTCTAATGCAAATTTTAGCTTGTTTATATTTAAATTAATCACTCTCTTATAAGAATTCCAGCACTGTAAATTATATTCTGGCTTTACTTTGTATATACTTTTCTGTGAGCTGGAACCAATTACCCAATACCCCATTGAAACTATGGTTTCGGTTAACGAAATTATCGGTTAACGAACGACCTTCTGGAACAAATTGTGTTCGTTAACCGAGGGACCACTGTACTGTATACTGATTCCCCCATAATTGCCAATTAAAATTTTATTAATTAGATTAAGTAATTTTATATAAGTTTGTTCAGAATTATGGTGTTCCCCCCAGATGCTGATCCTGCTGATGATTGATGTTGACTTGGTATTAAAAATATGATTGCAGCTGGTGACTGATAATTCCCTTATTTCTAATAACTCATGATTTCAGCGTGTTGTTGATGTTGCCCAGATTCTTGATATCTGTAATTCTCTTGATTGCAGCTGGTGATTGGTGTTGCTTTGATCTTCATGGGTCGGTACAATGTTTCACGTGAGCACCACGCCCATAAAGCCGATGCTCTTAACAACTGGATTGTCCTTGGTGTGTTCATTATCACTGTGATCAATGTTTTCATATCTTCCTTTGCCATTGAGCCATTGGAAGGAGTTGACCCTGTTCTCATAAGGGCTGCAATGACTGAATCAGCCACTGAGAAGTTGGTTGGTGGTTTGTAACTAGGACAAAGGAAGGTATACAGCAATGATTCTCCTTAAACACTAATATACTGTATTACATTATTTTTAAATACAGTAAACCCATGTTAGTGATTATGATTTAATTCTGATAAGCGTTACTCATATCCTGCTTAAATTTAAATTTATGCATCCTGCCTTTCAGATTCTTCTGATTAATATATGTAAAGGAAAAATCATGAATGATGAAGCATACAATCATTGAAATAAAATATTGTTAATATAGTTATGGAATTATACGCTAATTATTATTAGGTAAGAATCTCAAATATATCATATATTAATCTTTTATAATCATGCTATCATCCAGATACTCTGCCTTTTTAATTAATTTAATTTTTATACAAGTTTTATAGAATATAGGCCTTTTTAATAAATTTAATTTTTATACAGGTTATATAGAATATAGTACAGTATTGTTATATTTTGTAAATGGAACAAGCAAATGTACGGTTGCGAACAAAAGTTCGTTCCTGCTTGGGCCTCCCAAACTGAAGCAGTACCAATACCAAATGAGATAAAACAGTACACTCGCACTTGATGACAATCAGGGTAACTCAGTTTGGAGACTCAGTCCTGTGTCTCAGTTTCACCATTATGTGTGTCTGCGATCCTGATTTTCTCCTGCCTATATAAGAATAGTCTATAGCAGTACAGTAAAGTATCTGTCAACCAAAATTTTCAGGAGAAAGTCTTTTGTGAAATGAATTTTTGCATAAAGTGGATTCTATCATGTTTTTTTCAGTTTTACTGATCATGCAATTTGTTCACTGACGGTCTTTGCTCGAGTTTTTTCTGCAGAAAATCCACCTTTACTTTTATATTGAACACATTACGTTTCCTTTTAGCACTGTTGACTCACTATTACCAAATTTGCATATGTTTGAGTGCATTGCGAGGGCAAAATAAAATTGATATTAAACAAAGAGTACAGATTACGTCCGGCAGGAAGCAAGACTCCTTGTAGTTTTACTCTTGAGCCTGTTTGAGTTAGCCAATTACAGTAAAGGTGACCTGATATGCTGACCCAGGACACAATATTGTCATGGTAGCTCTTGTGACTGGATATTAGATACAGCAGCTAAAACAACTATCTGCGCAGTCAATATGCTCCGAAATTTTACGTGTGGCTAGTGACAGCCCTCATATACCAAAATTTATCGTCCATGGTCTCACATTGTTTCCCACAAAGTATGCACAAATAGTTGTTTTAGCTACCGTACATACATGCTCACTGCTTCCCATGCCCTAACCAACATCCTTACCTACCCTACTTAAACTCCCAATTTTTCATCTGGAATCAGTGATGGTAACCCATTCCCTGTGAGGTCATGACTCTTGTCACCTCACTTGTAGAGTGGCTTGGTGGTTCCTTTGAAATGTTGACACTCAAAGACTGTGACTAAGAGGCAGATTAGTGACTTAATGTAGAGGTAAATTACCTGTACTACTGTACCTGGCTGATAGGTCACTAATCCTGGTACTGTAGTGTACATTGATGAGAAACAGCACGTCAGTAATGCCTTCTAGTGACAAGTAAAATTTTATGTTGTTGATTATGATTTTTTTGATCCTCAGACTTTCATTAATTATAGTGCAACTGCAATTAAAATAGCTAAAAAAAATCTGCAACCTGCCAGCTGCAGTATTTGCCCACCATTCATTCTCAAAACTAACCCAATTTGGGATGAAACTACCAACCTGGCAACACTAGGACTCATGGATCAGTTGTTGGTGATGGCAGTGCTCATGCCCATGAAACAAAGTGGCAGAAATTTAGTATGACTTATCAAGGGTCAAGCATGGGTGACCACAGAATGGGATTTTAGATTGCTCAAATATTTTGTAAGAAGATTTTTAGTTGACAGGGACTTTATTGTACTTTGTATATGATACATGTATGTACTTCTATGTGGAAGTATTAGGTCTCCGTCCCTGTAAAAACAACCATTATATCGATATTATGCAGTATATGCTATATATGCTACAATTTTTCACGGTTTCAGTAAGTACTTGATAACTTGGATTTTGATAACTAGTATTTTGATGTAACACAGAATGGTAGTAAAATATTCAACTGTAAATTAATTTTTACATAACTCGCAATATTCTGAAATACGATGATGTGGTTTTGGAGTGGTGTAACATGTGCAAACCATGCAGGATGCATGACAGGCTCTACCCCCACTCCACTTCACTTCACCTCCCCTGCTCAGTGTGATAACTTAGGATAAAGTAATTTTTTTTTATATAAACATAAGTTTCAAATAAGGTAAATCTTGGCATTGTACTAGGGTATGGGAATTTAGTCTGGGGTCATGGCAGGTTCCAGGTATAGGTACTATACTGGTAACTTGGATGTTTGCTTAAAGTTAACATTTGTTATCTTATTTTAATGATATAATTTATTATGTGATTCCCATGTAGATTTATTATTATCATATATATATATATATTATATATATATATACAGCTAGACCCCGACTTACGACTGCTTTGACTTATGACCGTCGGGACTTACGACCGCCGCAGTTGTGACCATTTTTTTTTTTTTTTTTTTTTTCTCAAATGACACGCATTTTCTATACCGAAACGTTTCCAGTTAATGTAGTCTCCATGTATAATTAGAAAATTATGGGGGCCCCATGTGCATTCAGCTGACTACGTTAAAGGTAAGTGCTCAGTCACACTGTATCCATTCCTCATTATTTATTACTTTTACTGTACTGTATTTCATTGTATATTTTTTATTTGAAAAAAAAATAGATTTTTTTTTTTTTTATCTACGACGGGGTTAGGGACCCAAATCCAGGTCGTAAGTCCGACATAGATAAAAAAAAATCAATTTTTTTTTTTTTTTTTTCAAATAAAAAATCTACAATGAAATACAGTACAGTAAAAATAATAAATAATGAGGAATGGATACAGTGTGACTGAGCACTTACCTTTAATGTAGTCAGCTGAATGCACATGGGGCCTCCATAATTTTCTAATTATATATGGAAACTACATTAACTGGAAGCATTTCGGTATAGAAAATGCATGTCATTTGAAAAAAAAATGGTCACAACTGCGGCGGTCGTAAGTCCAAGCAGTCGTAAGTCGGGGTCTAGCTGTATATATATACTGTACTGTACTGTGCTGTAGATGTTGAAAAGCAATTTTTATCTTTGCCTATACTGTACTGAAGCAACTTGGCCAATTAAGTACCATTGAAGTCAAAGTGAATTGCTGTGGATCTTCTCAGCTGATATTATACAGTACAGTACCTAGTACTAAAAGAATGAGTGTTGCCATACTTAGTCTTTACATAAAATGGATTTTTTTTAATTTAGTCATTCTTTTGGTGTATATAAATGTATACAGTACACCAAAAGAATGACTAAATAATAATAACAAAATCAGTTTTATCTTAGGAAAAGTGACAAAAGAGCTCTGAAAAAGAATATTGGAATAGCATTGACCTTTAAATGTTAAGACTTCACCAAATTTTACCACAAAGACATCTTAAAAAGTACTTTATAATACAGTATGTAATTTAATTTTTTGGACACATACATTTCCCGCATATATAATATGGAGTGACAGTGTCCAAGAGGGCATCATTGTGTAGTTTTAGCTTACCTGAGTTATGAACTTTGAATACTGTAGTTTAATCTTTTAGTAGAGAAATAGTTTCCTGGATACAGTGGGTCACCATTATGTAGCCATAACTTCAGTGGTGAATCATAGCAACTGAAAGTTGCATCATAATTACTGGTAATCTCTGCACACTTCCATGGGAGCAAGCCTGGTAATCACCATTGTTAACTGTAACTGATAGAGCCTTGGTTCAACCATCCCGAAGAAGGATGGCCATTCTTATCCCTCTAACTATCGCCCCATTGCCCTAACTTCATCCCTCTCTAAGATTTTTGAAACTATCTTAAACCCTTATTTTCTCCATCACCTTGAATGCCATTCTCTTTTGTCGGGTCATCAGCATGGCTTTCGCCAGGCGAGATCTACTGGTGATCTGCTCTCCTACTGCACCCATCTTTTGCCATACTCTCCTAGGGATTATGGGGAAACTTTCATCGTGGCCCTTGACATCTCCAGAGCATTTGACAGGGTACGGCACAAGTCTTTGCTTTCTAAACTTCCCTCTTATGGTTTCTCTCCCCCACTTTGTTCTCTAATTTCTAGCTTCCTTGAGAACCAATCCATGGCAGTTGTTGTCGAGGGATCGATCTCTCACTCTTTCTCTACCAATAGTGGTGTCCCACAGGGTTCTGTTCTTTCACCTGCTCTCTTCCTTCTTTTTATAAATGATTTACTTCACACTATGACTAATTCTATCCATTCTTATGCTGATGATTGTACTCTTCACTCTTCTTCACATTTTCCCCTTCCCCCTAATTCTCAAACTAGATCTGTTTCTAGAGCTGATATCATTACATCTATCAATGCGGATCTGTGCAGCATCTCCAAATGGGGAGGGAGAAACTTGGTTATATTCAATAGTAATAAAAATCAGTATTTACAGTACCAATTATACTTTTCAAATTAGATGATCTCCCACCAATCACATTTCAGGATGCTATCATTCTGCCAAATTCTATAATAGATATGCTAGGCCTCACCATTTCCTCTATGTCATGGAAGCCACACACCCTCAATATTGCTAAAGCTACCTCCCAAAAGCTGGGAATGCTGTACAGATGCCATAGCTACTTCACTCCTGAGCAGCTGCTTCAAGTATATAAGGGATTCATTCATCTTAACTTGGAGTACTGCTCTCTTATCTGGGGTGGCTCTTCTTCTGTCCAACTGTTAGATAGGTTGGAATCAAAGGCATTTCATCTTATTAACTTTCCTCCTTTAGTTGATAATCTTTCTTCCCTTTCTCTTCTCTGCAATGTAGCTTCACTCTCTTTTACAGGTACTTTAACAGGCAATGTTCGGTGGATTTGGCATCCTGTGTACCGCCGGCTAGGCTGTGGGCTCGTAACACACGTCTTGCCCGTGGTGCCCACCGTTTCTCTGTGGATGTCGGTCACACTAGAATAAGCCATTATAGTACATCCTTCTCTCTCACACAGCCAAACTGTGGAATGCTCTGCTTTATACAATCTGTATCACTTCAAAAAGATGGTTTTCCGACATCTTCGTGGTGTACATTAATATTACCCTTTTCTTCTCTATTTTCAATTTCTTTTTACTCTTATTTTTTTGCCCCCTAGGCCCCGTTGTGGGTTGATGACCTGTGCCCGGGTGGGCTATTCCCCGTAAAAAAATAATATATTTATATATATTAAAATTCATAGATGTTGTCTTTGCAATAAATGGCATAAGATTCAGAAATGAAGGCCTTATGCAGTTCAGTACAGTATAACAAGGAATAATTCATAAAATCCAACAGGCAACCATATACTGTAGAATGAAGCTATTTTCTTTAATAATAGCCTTTTGTCATTTTTTTTATGTGTTTATTCTCATTTAAGGAAAGAGATACTCATAAGAACTGAGGTTTTCATGTACAGTACAGTACAGTACTGTATTGAGATTTTAGCATTAATTTGTTCATTCAAGATCAACATGATGAATGTCAACTTTTTAGCTATCATGAATTGATATTAGGTTTTTCAAGGACTTTTATAATACATACTGTACAGTACTGATGATTCTTTTCCCTTGGTCGAATGCTCTCTGGGACATCACTAGGTGTTCTACCTTAAATTGCACATTATTTTTTAAATATTACTGGACAGCACTTAATTTTTTTATGCATTTTATTGCTTCCTATTTCATATATTTATATAGTACAGTATTCTTAATGTGAAATACCCATTAAGAGAACTGAAAATGTTCAAAAGTATGTGAAAGAATTTACAAGTTACGTTTTCTAATACTCAAATGAAAGATGTATTGTAATTGCCTTTTGTCTCTTGCCATGTGAAGAAAGATTATGGTTTATGTTCTCAGGATGTGTGCAGTACAGTGAATGGGGAAACCCCAAGAGAGTTAAGGAGGAACAAAATGAGAAGTAGAGGAGGAAGAAAATAACAATTATTTTTAAATTATTGTAAGATCTTTCCTGTTTACCTTAGGATAGCTGGGAATGAACACACATTCCTTTCATTCATATTTTTTAATTTGTTCTTTGTAATCTAAAGGTGCGTTGAATTTGTTCTTTGTAATCTAAAGGTGTGTTTAATTTGTTCTTTGTAATCTTCCCTTCCAAAACAGAGCCTCTAAACTAGCTTACTCCTTGTGGCCCACACAATCTAGCCTAACCCCTCAGCAACATATCCGTATAAAAATTATTTGAATCCATATTCTCTGCTCATGAACACTCTTATGCTGCCTCCTGGTTGTCCATTCTCCTCATTTTTAGTGCATCTTTCACTCACAATCATCTACTTGGGTTACCTATCACCCTTCTACCATCCACCCCTGAAGTATATATTCTTTTTACCAATATTTTACTCAGTACAGCACATTGATACAGTATTGCACAGGACTATGTGAGTAGACCTTCATCCACTCCCTTTACCAGCACTAACATCATTTTCACATCTTGTTTTATTCCAGCTTTTATTAATTCTCTCCAATGTGTTAAAATGTAGATAAGAAACTATTAGTAGGCATTCATAGTCCAGTGCCTTTCCTATAATTGATATTGCTTGTATAAATAGGATCATTCTGTTTGAGGTTTGTACAATGTTCAGTAACAGATAACTATATGTGGTACTATATGTGATTTATTTATTTTTATTTTTTATACAAGTTTAAATTCTTTTGAAAGTCAATCTTATGTATAAACCTTATGAAATAATGTTTTCTTTGATAATGTAAATTTACTCAGATTTTATGTACTGTACACTCGAATTCTCAACCCTGAAACAACTGGACAAGCACAATGGTAGTTCAACATATCATCAATGAATACTGTATAGAACCTTGAATATATATTGTGAAGCAGCTACCAGTAGCTCTACCACTAAAATACCAACTTGTGCTACTTAATTAAATAAATATCTGGACATACAGGTATAGAACCTTTGCCCAGAACACTTTAAGTTACCCAAGTAAATGGTGGTAAGGATCTACCATTGGATTACTGTAGACACTACAATTCAGTCTTTCAAGCTAATGGTAATCACAGTAATCTGAGGAATAGAGTACAATTACTGTGAATTTGAAAAAAATCAGCACAATTGCACTGTTGAATTTTTGACATCTATTGTTTCTGACATACTGTATTGTGCTAATGTGTTGTGTAGTTATTGTTTGTTGAACCTTTTACTGTTGATATACAGTACAGTACAGCAGTAAGTTGACATAAAGGTATATTGTAAGTGAAATCCTTAATGATGTTCACAATTTAAAAAATATCCATTCATGTCAATAATATCTACAAGAGTTTATGAAATCTGCCATTTTTTGTTGATGCTGTTTTAAATGTGGTGCTTTAAGGTTTTGATTCATTACCTGTTTTATGTGTTCTGATATCAATGGAGAATAAGCCTGGTGATAATATATTAATTGAAAAGATATTGAATTACACATCATGTCTATTTTCATAAATACTGTACATGTACAGTATAGTGTACCGTAACTGAAAGATGTTTGGGTAGTTACAGAGTAACTTGAATACATTCCAAATGTTTTAGACTATAAATATAATTCTATGCTATGGGTGTTGGCATTCTAGTTAGCTAAATTGAAAGCCTAGGATTTTTAATCCCAAAATTCTTGTGCAATGTTTTGTAAATGAACCTGAAGTATAGCATAGAAAATTGATTACCTTTACTTGTTGTATAGTTTTTATATACAGTACCAGTAAATATAAATGCAATACATATTTTTTTTCAATGCTCCCATATACAGTATACAGGTATGCTGCGTCTACAGTTAAAAAATGAAGGCTATTGAAGGTTACATCACTTAAAAAAGAAAAAAATTAATCTTACGAGGTGTGATCCAAAAGTTCCTGGACTGGCTTCATAAAATCTTCAAGACATTACAGTGAAACTTTAGTCACCCTCAAAATATTCTTCAGAGGCCTTAATGCAGCACTGAAGCCCCTCCTCCCACTTCTGGAAGCAGATCTGGAAGTCCTTGTTGGTGAGGCTGGAGAACACCTTCTGTGATGTGTCCTGGATCTCCATTTTGTCCATGATCATCTTCCCCTTGAGGTTCAACTTGAACTTGGGAAAATGGCCAGAAGTCACAGGGGGCCCGATCTGGAGAGTATGTAGGGTGGGGGACCACTAGGATGCCGTGCTTCGCCAGAAAATCATTCACAGTGAGGGCAGTGTGCACAGGTGCATTGTCCTGGTGAAAGAGCCAATTGCTGGTTGTCAGTCAGAATCTGGTTAACATTTCCATATGAAAGGTCCAACCGCTAGGCAATCTCACGGGGGATCCCTTACACTCTTCATGGATAAGTTGGTCATTTTCCTGGACATTTTCATCATTTCTTTCAGTGGAAGGCCACCCAAAACAAAGCTCATTTTCAAAGGAGGTGCACCCTTCTTTGAAGCGCTTGTGCCCCGTGAAAACTTGAGCCCTGGACATTGCTTCATCTTTGTTGGCTTCCTTGATCATTTCATGGGTTTCTGCACCAATTTTTCCTAGTCTGAAGCAAAATCTGATGGCACTGCTCTGCTTGATACTTCCCTCCATGTTGAGGATTGAGTGGCGACTGACTTGAATTAGCAAATGGGCTGGTACACTCGCACAAAGCTGCACTATGACCGGTTGGCGACACAGATTCCCGCTTAATCGATGCAGTACAGTAGAACATTGATATAACCGAATTTGCACTAAATTGAAGTGTTGTCTCAATGGAATAATTTAGTTTGGTACTTGAGAAAAACACAAAATACTAAAAAGACTGAGAGTCTACCCAGATGCACCTCAGCCCATCTCCTAGAATAAACAAAACATTGTTCTTTGTAGTATTATGTTAAAACAAACACTCATAAATCAACACAGCTAAAATTATGGGATGTGAAATGGTCTGTGTACTAGCAATCAGCTGATGTGAGAGGGTGAGTAACTGCTAATGATTGGAATTTGATATCTGCGAAGGGAAAGGTTTTATGAAGCCAGTCTGGGAACTTTTGGATCACACCTCGTATTTTCTTGTGTCCAGATAAGTTTAACACTAAAATGTATAACATCTTGGAGTTTAGTAATTACAGTGCAGTGTGTATATCAGAAAGGATTCTGTGCTATGTCATGAAAAAAATAAGATCCTTGAGTTTGAGAGTTCTTCCTGAATGATTTCTTTGTTTTGTGATGAAAAGATTATTTTAGGATCAGAAGTTTCTTATTTATTGAATTATATGCAATGTTCAGTACACCAAGTTGTCAAATTTGAACATATTTGTCTTGAAACCCCCCTTTAAAAGTAGTCCATACCAATTACCAACTCAAATAATTTTCTCACTTGATTTCATACATCCAGTAACCCACTCGCATATTTCACGAAATAATCTCCTTTTGTCAAGAAACAAGGAAAATAAGTTCTTCCCTTAATAGGTTGATTTATTCTCATAATTAAACTAAGGACGAAAATACTATGTGTATCACATCTGGTAATATTTTCAACATTAATTAACAAATTCATCACCCTGAAATATGTTTTTTTTTTATGTACAGTGTGGGGTATGGTATGTTTGGTTCACACTCAGGATGGGTTGGAGAAAGGAAACTTACAATGTGCTCTCTATATACATGTTGTATTGGATGCACAATGCAGCTTGGTGCTGGGAAGGCAGCATGGTTACAAGCGTGATGTAGAGAGAGCTGGTTGGTGAGGGTGCTCAGAGGACCAGCTTGTGGGTCGCCATGCTCGCCAGCGGGAGAGAGGACCGCCAGGCAGGCGGAGGAGGAGCGAGGGCCGCCAGGCAGCGGCGGAGGAGGAGGTGTTGCTGGCTGCGGCTGTAGGTAGAAAGAGAGAGATCACCACGAGGTCAGGTCTTATATAGCGGGGGTAGGCGTGGCTTAGTAATTGACCCCCGCTCCGTGATGTATGGCGGCACTGGTTGACCTAGACCACGAGGCATACACTGGGGAATTGGTGGGGTCGGCTACTCAGCGACAAACAGCGTTTGTAGGGGAGAAATCCACTACAACAGCATGCCTGTACAGTACTATTTTGATTGTTCTGCATCTGAACTACTCACTTTTCTGTACAGTAATCATACCATTATTCTTTCTCTGAACTGTATACGTATTACAAAATTTATGAATTTCACTAGAATTAATTTCTTAAATTTAGGAAGAATGGTTAAATCATTATTAATCCTCTTCATCAAATATTACTGGATTCTCACTTCCATCCTTCGTTCAAGCATATGTCATAAACATTTTGATTTTATTACCACTTTCATGATCAGTGACAGACATAATTGATTATCTGAGAACAATTTGAAGCAATCATGTCAAATCATTACGTACTAACTAAAATGGAACTAACGGGTGAAAAAGGTTCAGTGGATGAAGTAGAAAAAGGTGCCACGGCTAAATCATTATTGATCATCTCTCATTATACTTTAGTACTCATAGTCAATGCCTGCTGAAAACAAAGCCAATTGGTCACTCTCATTTTGGAATGCACTCACTTCCCAAAGTCTCGGACAGAAAATTCATGGCCGGTCGGCCTAACCTAGAATAAAAACTCCAATTTCGGTTAAGATTATAGACGAAAGTCAAACACTGGTAACTTGGTAAACTTTCAACGTTTAAATGGAACAAAGTCGAAAATTTTATAGGTTATTCAGTGCCCGTGTTTCTGCTGTAACAATTATACTGGGATTTAGTTTGGCAAGTATTACTTTGCAAGCGACATTTCATAGTTTATTGAGTCATTGGTATCTACCATGGTCATAGAGTTTACTTTATGTCTAAAGAGTGAGTCAGACTGGAGTGGCTTAGAAGAGATAGGATTCCCTCCACTCAAGTTGCTCAGCATTTCTCACATTCTCTCGTCCTTATTTTACAAACATCAATTTATTTAATAATTTTGATAATCTATGTCAAATGGAATTTTTTGTGTTCATGAGGTGGAAAATTTTATAATTACCCAACATTCCCCCTCTAATCTTTATCTTGAACAAAATTAACCGAGTAAGGAAGTTGTTACACAGATAGTTGGCGCCTTTGACGGTTGGCAAAGTTGACTATTTTCTCCTAATTTTGTCAAGTTACAGTAGTAGCAAATAATTTATTACTATATTTTTTCGATGGATATCAAGGTAATTAAATATCAAAAGCATATATTGTAATTATAATGAAATATAATACAACGTTATGTACGATAGTTTGTTCTGGTATTACAAACTACAGTAATGTCTAGTAGTACAGTGTTACTCGTCTGGCAGAGGAGTGGCAGGGAGTGGCTGGTACAGTCATGGCTCAGGTGAGTCCACTGAATTTGAGCCTTTTGTGGTTAGTTCTCAAATGTTATGGAATATTTGCATATTTTAAAGATAAGTCTAAGATTATGACTCATTTTCTTACGAGAAAATTCATGATTTAATTTGTGGAAAGTTTATAAACGTTCAAGGTTGGTGTTATCAGGAAGAGGTGTGTGTGTTTTGATTTAAAAAAAAAAAGTAGAGGAACTTTATTCCTGGAAATAACACACATACACGCTAGTAACTTTAGTTTACAAGATTTGAAATATAAAACTATAAACTGTGTGGAGGTTAGCTGATAGTTTGGAAAGTACCAAAAGAGCAAACTTCTTGTTGGACTACAGACTTAGTAAAAATATAGGGGGACTAAACTTGGAAGTAATGGAGATGCTGAACTAATGTGAGAGTAGACAAAATATTTAGCGTGTATTAAGTTTAATTTTATTAGGCTGGGTGAGCAGACTTATAATATTTCTGGACATATTAGTTTAGTGTCGTACAGTAGAATTATTGATTATAAAGGCGAGGCTACTGATCAGCATCCTAAACTACTGTCTATCAATATGGTAAGTGTTGTGGTGTTGTAACTACCTCATTTAAGGTGTAGTGACTTGAGCGGTATACTAAGTTCTCAGCCAGTCTTCCAATACTAATTTTAAGGAATTTTCATTCTTAGTTTCAGCGACTGGTCTTATTTTACTTTCGGACAGCGTGCCCCAAAGTTTTAAACCACTGAAACATTTAGAGCTCCCTATTCTGAGCATTTAGAACCCCATTTTTACCATTCTGTAATAGAAAAATAGCGACACAATTGAATTTAATTGATTTTACGTACTTTTCAGTCTTGGTTTCTGAAGAGATTGTGGGGTTCAGGATGTTTGGTTCACACTCAGGATGGAATGGAGAAAGGAAACTTACAATGTGCTCTCTGTATACATGTTGTATTGGATGTACAATGCAGCTTGGTGCTGGGAAGGCAGCGTGGTTACAAGCGTGATGTAGAGAGAGCTGGTTGGTGAGGATGCTCAGAGGAGGACCAGCTTGTGGGTCGCCATGCTCGCCGGCGGAGCGAGGACCGCCAGGCAGGCGGAGGAGGAGGAGGTATAGCTAGCTGGTTGGTGTAGGTAGAAAGAGAGAGGTCACCATGAGGTCAGGTCTTAAATAGCGGGGGGTAGGCATGGCTTAGTAGTTGACCCCCGCTCCGTGATGTATGGCGGCGCTGGTTGACCTAGACCACGAGGCATACACTGGGGAATTGGTGGGGTCGGCTACTCAGCGACAAACAGCGTTTGTAGGGGAGAAATCCACTACAAGATGTTGTCTACAATGTTGACTGACATCATCCAGTGGTGACCAATGATATATCGATCTTATCACGCTTTTATTTTTATCCACGAATCACATAATTTTTTCAAAGGGTACGGATTTGAATT